TGGAATTCTTCCCAAAAGGGTAGAGCACTAAGAGCAGCAGGCAAGAGTACCTTCCTCGTGTGGAAAGTTTTTACATGTATATTGAGAAGAAACATAAAAAAAAAGTCTCAATAATGACCGTGCTGGGAATCTGGTTGTTGACGTTTTCCAGCTTTTGTAGGAAGTCTGGCGTGTCTTGGATATATGATGGATTCTGTGGAACGACGGATTTGAGAAAGATGCTTATGAACAAAGATTCGTGTTCAGTGGGAGATCCATTTCCAGAAACGATGGGCCTCCCAGGTTGCCTGCCTTGTGGATATTGGGGGGTAAAACCTAGCAGTCCTACCATCACTGGGATGTAGAAACTAACGAACTTTCTCAGACAGTTGGTCAAGTGAACGCATATTTACACGTTGTGAGAATGTTCCTGTGGAGTCAGGAATCAAAGAAGATATAGTTAGAACGATTGTTAAATTGACGATGGGCTTCATCAATGTACAGCTGTTGGTCCAAAATTACCACAGTTGAACCTTTATCCGCAGACTTGATGATATCAGTGTGGGTACGCAGGTCGTTGAGTGTTGAGCACGCATCCTTAGATGCGGATATAGAGTTTCGTGCGCCCGTCCCCGTAATATTAAAAGTGACACGTACACATTCACGTACGAGGTGCGCCATCGAATTAGTTTCGGTGATCAATACGCTTGTGGGAGAGGGATCAAGCATGCTTTCTGTACTTTTACTCTCTTTCTTGTCCACATGCTAACAATCTACAGCACGTATACTGTCAGCCAAATTTCTGTCAGTTGGTATTTTACACAAAAGCTAGAGAAATGTTAAAAACTAGATAAACACAGTTCGTACGTGAAACAACTCCTCTTCGCGTCTAAAAGTGTCGTCACAACGTGAAACTGGTGCGCATGAATTGATGACGTGTTCAGCGAAATCTCGACTTTACGTTCACGGAGCGCGCGGCGGGGTTTCTGCCGAAAATCTCTAATCACGCAGACTGCACGTGATGAAAATGATCAGTGTTACTTACTTTATGAATCAGTAGTCTGTACATAGGTCTCGAGGGCAGCTGTACGATTCTTGGGGTGCGTTTGACACAGAAGGCCCCTGATCACACGGAGCATGAACAGAATTAAAGAAATCGTATCTGATTGGCGCAAATCACGGGGATGGAGGTATATACACACACACCCACTCCTTGAGGTGGGGGGCCTACTGAATCACCCCCCCCCCCACTTTTTGTGATGAATAAAATAATCAAAAGCGGGTTGTACAGAATTTACAGGATTTCCCAACGACTAAAATGTTTGCAATATCACTAATTGGGGAAAGCAATTTTTAAAAGCAATAAATGTGCCATTCTGATGTAAGATTCTGCATGAATACAGATGTACATTTTCATCATGAACGACCCCATAGCGCTTTTCAAATTTCCATGGCTGGGCAAGTCATCCCCATCCCCCCCCCCAATTTCCACAGATTTACACCACTGCGTTGCAGATGCATTCGGTGAGATTTTGGCCGAATTCTACCTGGTTGACTGCGGGGGGAGTTGGATTGATATTAGGACCCTTACAGAAAAGTTTGTGTTCAGTGCCAGTTATAGGTGACGAGGAAAGGTTGACTACGGTGTTGGAGCTACGGAAATCGTAGGTGGCATGGGCTGGGGCTTAGGATTCCTGAAATGTCTAAGCCTACGTTGTTGCTTGGCCAAAACGCCACCTATCTTCTTGTTCCTCCTGTCATGAAGTTTAGTGAGGCCTCTTTCCATCTCGCTGTACAGGTTCCTATAGCAGTTTCCGAACAGTTGGATCCAAGTTTAATTCGGAGCCTAAATGGGCTATGTCTTGATGGAGGTTCTGAAGCGTGATTTGACACTTTTGAAAAAGAACACATATAAGTTTATTATTATGTATTTGGTATTGGTATTTGGTCAAAGAATAGTGACGTGTACCCCACTGATGATACCGTCTCTGATGGCCTTACAACGTGCATCATTAACCCTAACAGTCCAAAAACCTCCTGTTGCAAAAAGATTTTACGTATACCCTATGGGGTTAGCAGAATTTGACAAGTGTATACTTATCATTCCCTATAGTTTCTAACACATCAGGCGCAGCGCTCTATACTGGGAGCATAAAATGCCCTCAAGGAATATGTCATTAAATCTTGACAGTTTCAAGACCTCCAATGGAGATTTGGAAATAGCAAGAATAAGCACGGGAAGTTAACAATTATTTTTTTTTCTGAACACGATTATTGTTTAAGACGTGTTGACATGTTTTATCAAAATGAAATTGAAAATTCTTCGCGAAAGAAATTTACAAGTGAGAACAGTCAGCACTGGCCACAGGTCAGTGAGGAACGGGGAGAAATTAGTAAGTTTACTACGACGCATACAAACCCCATCGTTCAAATATCAAAGAAAGAAAGACAGCGACAAAAGCATGTCTCTCCTGCGAGAGTTAACGTTTGCCATTTTATCAAAACACCGTTGTGGATCATGACTAATCTCTCCACCTACGGTTTCTAAAGCCAGATTCTGAAAGTGGTTAGAAATTGGTAATTTTAGAATTGTTATTCACCGCGATTCAGCTTATACCTCGCCAGTGTGAGAACCCAGCTTAATACTACGCACCTTCAAAACATGAAGCACACGTGTAATCCATATAGTGCGGTATTCTTTGGGGTCTGTGACACAATGGCCGCTGGATGTAAGAAACTCGTTCAGTCTCGACTAGTCGAGGATAAATGATTGTGGAATACAACCTCAATTTCAAGATTCCCAAACTCAATTTACAGGTTCTCAAAGAAAGAATGGGGCGAAGACTACTATGCAAGAGGCTCCGTCAAATAGAACCTCCATAACACGGGGTAAAAAAAAGTGAAATTGGAGTAAAAGCACGGGTCGCTAAATCCTAATATGTTGGTTAATGTACGGGATTTTGTACGGACGTGGCCGTATTTGGCCGTAAGAACGGCGATTCAACCAAATCCCTGACAGGTAAGCGTGAGGATTCATGATAAAACGTTGAAAGCAGGTTTTAAACAATGTATAGTTAAACTGTACAATACACCGTACACAAAAATAAAAAGCAAGCAAATTGTGGTCGGACATTTTAAGTATTATTTTAATTACTGAAACAAAACATGACATGATATTAAGTTGTTTTCTTCAGTTTTTAACAACCGCAGTATATTGCATTTTATACATAATAGAATAACTCTGTGTGAAAATGACATTAACAAAACATGGAAAAAAGGTTTATTCCATATCCTATAGATCTTTACGATACAATCGAATCATTTTTTTCGTTCGCCAATATTTAAGAAACCATGGCGACTACATCAGACTGTTACACACAATACAGGGGGACATACGGATCTTTTAGAGAAGAAAAGATCAGAGCATACCGCGCAATATTTTCTCTATAAAACCAGTTCTGAAAATCTGTTCACAGCTAAACGACTGTAATCCTGATGAAGTTTTTATCTATTAGCGTTGACAGCACACTCTCAAAACCTGTCTTCAGAAATTAAACACAATTTTGTCATTAGTTTGTTTCTTGAGAAGCTAGACATCACGTGTTCAATTCTTACACACCACTAATCCCTTAAAGACGTGTTCAGTCTTTACACATGTATTAAAAATGATAGCAAGAAAGAGTTCACCAACCCAGGGTTAACAGAAATACTTTACATTAACTCTAATTCGGTAGGAATCACGAATGCTATTGCTGGGTTTACTTTGAGACCAACTACACATGATTTCCTAACATGATTACCACAGCCTGCATGGAGACAAGTATGCGTCCCTACAGGAACACCTTACTTCTGCAAACCATGTTACATACAGTTCACGGTGAACAACACGCAGTTTCCTTGGGCTTCCTTGATGAAACTGCTGGGAGGTAATTTCGACAAACCGACTGTTTGACGAGCATAAATCACTTTGACACTTCATTTCCTCACCACCGTTGCTTGGGGGTAACAAACAACTTTTCTCGAGAACGCCATGAAATTGTAGTGAAATTTAGCAGCTCCGACATTCTACCACTTCAGTAAAAGGTTGAAGCAAAATATTGGCAGTGATACAACTAAAAACGATTTCCAACGTGTGTCACGGGTGGTCCATTTGCACTTTGCCTTGTTTCGGTTTATACTACTTTATCCTCATTTCGTTTGCTACTAAACCAAGGACCTGGGAAAACACATAAAGACGCAGGGCCCACTCACAAAGGTGGCTTTGGACGTGGTGGATTTTGGTAGCTCAGTGGATTTGCACGAAACTCGGTTACCATTCTGCCGTACACTGGCACTCGTATCCCCAATGCACTATTCCCTCTGTCGACCAATGGGCACAGCGACATTACACAAGAGCTGCTTCATGTATGAGTGACATGCTGAATCATTTTCTTCAAGCGAGTTTGCAGACCTGCGCACGAACGCACAACTTGAGGTCCTTGCGTACTACTTCTGATTCGTACGTGCCCTCGTACAACACGCACGCATTGACGGCATGTCGAACGTATGTCTTTTAAGTGCGAATTACAAGTGTATATGTACATGGATGAAGAAAGTGTGGACTTGTAAAGCGTGAAGTAAGGGCGTATGTTGGATTACCCACAGAAACGGTTGCGAGTCTACCATAGAGGTTTCGAAATCGACGTAAGAAACGAAGAGAGCAGCGCAACTAAGACGCAACCTGCAACGCAGACATATGGAAACATGTTAAACGGAGGTGTCGCCAATAACCCAGACACACGCAAACCAACTCCAAACGGACCGGCAAAAGTTGAGCCCGGTTCAACTTTGCTGACTGTCTGCGTTGAGTCGCTAAATAGGCCTATAATACACGCACGCTGGCATGAAGGGCGTCCAACGACGTTCCTCTCGCTTAGTACCACTCATTTTGTCCATTTCTCCTGATAACTCGCATTATGCAGCCCCAGTTGTCAACCAAATAGCTGACCATAAACAAAGTACATCAAACTACTGGGGTATCAGTTAGGCTTCAAGGGGCGTAATTCCTACCGAAACAGGGGTTTTATGCGACAATTTGCATGATTTTATTGGTGGAATAACGGAACGCAGGGTGTCTCCCGTCCCATGACTGTCTGCGTCTTGACGTCTTGCGTGCCATCAGCGTTCGTTACGACCATATGGAAACCAAACTTCATAAAGCTTACGTACTCCTTTTCATTCGTACGTAGAAATCTGAAAAAGTGAATAGGAAAGTTTTTTGACCTTGTCCGTAACGGAAATACGACTGCGTACGACATACTGCGGCTGCTGATTTTCAATCCAATATCCAGGTGAACAATAATTATTTATGTTCAAAGCGTCCCAGTACGGTCTTTGGTGCAAAGCGACGTGAACAATTTCGTCGAAACTGCAGGTTCACACCACATATAAAATCTGAGATGAAAAAAATAACACACAGCACAAACAGAAATGTATCGCCAATGCACTGGAAACAAACGTAACAAAAGCTGAAGAACATAATCTTCAATACTACAAAGCTAACATGCTGGCAAACACACTTCGTGTGAAGTCGTTTACAATCACTATCTCCACATTCACCACAGGAAACCTTGATGTACCATCTGCTGCCCTCAAATAAAGACTAGCTGCAGTAGGCTAAATTGACTCGAAATAATAAAAAAGTAGTTTTCAGGGTAAATGATTTTTAGCTTGAAAAATTCAGTGAAAGCCCACCGTTTAAGTTAGACCAATAAAGCTTACAAAATCTACCCACACGACTGACCTGCAGTAAACTGATCCACAATCCTCGTGTTTTCTTTTCTAAACATTCTCGTCTTGTTTCAAACACTGTTTGATTCCACTTCATCAATGCGTGCAACTAACGTTTTCGTTGAATGCGTCCATATAAACGGCAAAACAAAGGCAGATTTATCAGGCAGACCAAAAAATGCGAACAGGCAACTTTAATGAGCCAGTTCGTCATTTAACAGCGCATGGCCAGCTGTTACGGCCGATAATGTAATAACCCAAACCGGTCGACAATGTAACAACCGTAGATTACATTATCGGTCGGTATTACATTATGCGTCGATTATTACATCATCGGCCGTAACACCAAGCACTAGGCTATTCGGTACTATGTACGCGTGTGCACAATAGTCTGACTCGTCAGCGCGGCCATGCGCTGACTCAAGCGCAGTCTTTGGTCCCGAATGACCTTGGCTTTTTGAAATACTGAACTGGCTCATTTTTCCGAACGATCCAAACGTTCCTAATGGAGTTCCATCTGTACGAAACATTATCTTTTATATTACAATGTGTGGATGAAGAAAGAAATTTAAGTCAGTTTTCTTCGACATCTAGCATGGGCTAGTGTCACTACAGCGGCCAGGAAGTGCCCGTTCTCATGTGTAGGACCGTGAAGAAATTTCAAAGACTTTTTGGAATTGTAAATCCAAATCCGGAAAAACAGAGTTGTATGAAAAAGGACGAACAGTGAATGGGCTTCAGTAAGTTGATACATTGTTTCCAAAAATACCCTCCAGCATAAAACTTGGTATGGAAACAACCTTTCTACTTATTACGTCAGTTCAAACAAACTCACTACAACACTGACACATAATTTCTATGTTACAACAAAAATAAGAATCTGGTAAGCGATAGAGGAAAATTAGGCAAATATATAAGCTTGCTTTTCCACAGGTTATTTCTTCTAAAGAAAAGGTAAAAAAAAAATTCATAGCTCACTTCATTTGGCATAATTATTTCTTCTGTTACTTTACTAAATACATACGTGTATCCACAAAGAGTTACTTTTTTTAGACGTCAGATGGTACTATCACACATGTATAACACATGATACATGTACATGGAAACATCGGGATTGGAAGTCTAGCTAAGTAGACGGCTCTTTGGCTACTCGCTTTGATCAGAACCGACGATACGCGAAAATCTTCACTTAAGGCCTTTTTTAGAAGTTGTCATTTATGAAGCTCCCTACTCATCCGGGAAAAAGAAATGGCTGAGAGCAAAAGCCAGCTTGTCTCTGGTTCAATACAGGTAGCTGAGCCTGGAGGCTTTATACGAAAATTAGGTCAGTACAAATATCCATCCTCCAGAGGACTGCCAAACCCATCAGATTAAAAAAAGAAAGAAGTTTTGAAGGTTTCACGGGTATGCAGTTCACCGTGGCAGTAAGCAATCACCTTCGGTGGTCGCAGTGCAGTCCACAAACTGGCTTACGCTGTTGTAACTCAACCTGGTTTTTACCCTGTTTGTGGAATTCCTGGCCACAAATACTCTTGACCTTGAGTGGTCAACGGAGGAGGAGAATTAACCTAACTGACCAGTCGGGATAAAAGAAATTAATATTGCCTACTACCAACCACGTCAGATTGGATAGCCGAGTCATATGTATTTACATCTTATACATAAATCCTTAAGTATATAATCTGAAACACACTGATGAATATTCACGATTCTCAATCACAACGACTGAGGTACAACATATGGATTAGCATAACACTTCTTCCAAGAATCTGGAGAACTCTGATTGGTCAGGTGACAGACGGGAGGTGGTCCACGTTGTGTGCTGTACTTGCTCCAATCCTGGACTTCTGTCTGGTTTGTGTGTTACTATACATGTATCTATCATTTATTCCTGGCTGATCTCAGAGGTACACTTTCAGAGATTTCCCTGTTAAAATTAGAAAAAAAAAGAAAAAGATAGATGGGCATGAACTACTATTATCCCAAATTCCTATCAACTTATTTGTGTGCCACAAAAATGCAACCAAATCCAGCAGCTGGCGCTGTGCAGTCAATATAGCATAGTCTGCCATTTAGTCCTCAGAGAAATCCAGCATTGCTCAAAACAGCAAGTCGACACTGCTGCATGATCCACTCTGTCACATATAGCTGGACAGATGTTAAGCTGTTAAAATAAACGAAGGACACAGTGGGTCTCTGGAAACAGCATGCTGAATGAAACTTACATCGAGAACATAACAGACAGACAAAAAACAAGGGAACCCTGCTGTCGAGCGATTCAACGCGGGGCTCAATAAGGGGACATATTTGTCGATTGAACAAAAAGCAGCTTTACTCACAAAAGGATCGCTGGGTTGGGGTTGCTGTGGGGCCATCATCCTTGGCTGTTGCTGCTGTTGCTGTGCATACATCCCCATGGGTGCCATGCCTTGCTGGGGGTACATGCCCGCCATCCCCGGCTGCATGCCAACCGGTCTGACACCCATACCCTGCTGGATTCAAAACCCACAAAGACCAGGATAACAGTAAATCCAAGAGAGGCTGGTACCAAACGCTGCACGTAATAGTTAATGGGGCGATGTGAATATCTGGGACTCTCACCAAATGGCAGGTAGCAGCTACACCGTGCTGATGAAAAGAGCGACCATGGTGATGTACGCGCATACCAGCCAGTCAGAGGATTGGATTGCACAATCTTTCTTTTGATCAGGAGGGCCAAGTATGCCCATTGCAGTTTTGTGAAAGTCTTGGAAGGTCGCACCGCCTCATAGATGTACTCTTTCTCGAACAGTGTAGGGAGTTACAATTTAAGTTAGCACTGGCAGAGAGAGCAACCTACAAGTACAGGTAGGTTTAGGGTTTTTGCAATATCAGCTACTGCTCGTGGCTAGGGTTACTGTAGACAGTTGCCACCACGAAAACAGTTGCTTCAAAACAGTTCAGGAAGTAAATGAATTCACTTTATGTCCCAATTTTAGTAGAGTACAAATTAGTTAAAATGCCTCAAGGAACTTTACGAAACCCCTGCCCAGGACAAGAACCAAAATGAAACAAAAGATGTAACTGTGCTGCACATACCAAATGTCCACCTTTTGTTCTTATTAAAAATTAAACTCCTTATTTCAGCACTTGTTTGTTTCTTGCCTCTAGCTACAGTGTATATCCATGCTGAAGTCATAGCAATATGCCAGGGAGGACAAATCCATCTCATCACACTGGCAAACTCTCCCGCCCACTTGATTTAATCAGACTATACTGTGTGTACATGTATGTACTTTTCTACTTTCCACACACCCTCCGACAATACAGCCTTGGCGGTTCTCTGATGGTCCAATGAACAAATTAACAGGGACCGGCAGCTTTGCTCGGCAAGCCCACTACAGACAACCCCGTGGGACACTTAATGGCTGTATCTACAAGCTCTTACATCTGCTAAATGGAAATCCATTTGCATGAAGTCACTGGACTGCACAGATTAGTTTGGAATTGGCAACAGCCCTTAAGAACATTATTCCTTGTAGCTAATTCCGAGAGAATGAGCCAACACAAGAATACTGATGGCACATATGCATGCTGCTGCATACAGAGATACAAGTGATAAGGTGTCGACCCTCTGTTTATACAGCACATAGTGCACTGCTCAGAGGCTACTTGATGCATGTTGAGATAAAAGCAAAGGCGAGGCTAATGGCTTTAGGAATTCAACTCTTTCGGTAACGCAACACAAAAGTACATGGATGCTTCTGCACATTCTGCTTTGGTGACCATGGACTCAGTCCTACGTGTTTGCGCCTATCCTGATGCACTTTGCTACAGCATTGTGCTTGGCAATCATAGGGTCATTGCTGGAAAGAAACATTAATGGCAAGCTGTATTGAACACATGGGTTCTCGTCAGCCAATAACCTGACTTTGAGACTCCGCTCACAAAATTACGGGTACAAACATGACACCCCATTTTGAAATTGTGTCACAAGTCACCAGAACCAATTGTAAGTCAGACGCCTTAACAAAAAAACTTTAAAAAGGTAAAGCAATAACAATCCTTTGCATTTTTCATCCTCACAATGTCCATTTTAATAAGGATACCAAACTGAGTGGTACATCTATACAAAGAGCTAAGTTTGCTCTTTTCCATACGAAACAAAAACTTAAAAGTAGCTCGGGTGATTTTCACAGAGCTGGTCATGTGTAAGCCATACAGAGGTTTTGCATGTACTCATATAGTATGCATGTTCAGCATTACGGTGGGTGTACCAAGACTGAGCCATAGAGATGGATGAGTCGACGGCACTGATTTAATGTTGAAAGTTACAGCATGCACCCTGCAGGCACTGGTGTGAAATATGAGCCCAAGTGCCAATTTCCATCTCCTGCTCCGTTGATTTATTTGATCAAGAGATGATGAGACTGCAGGTGAACCAATCCCTGGTATTGCAGGAGTCATTTGATTTTGTTTGTTTTAACAAGCAGGATAAGGCTGCGCATACAATATTTTTCTTGGATGCTGCCTATCATAACGTTGCTCAAGCCTTTGGCAATGGTTCAAGACAGCTTAAAGCCTACGCATGTATAATGCTCATAAGCATGAATGGTCAGTGAAGGCTATTACATGTAGATTTCTACTGTGTTAATGCTCCTGTGTTCACATTTCAGTGCACCTTCAAAACCTCTTTAATGCCCCCTCTCCTACACTGTCTAAGGTCAGAATATAGGCAAAGCCTGTACCACTACCGGTACCTACATGTACATGTACATGTATGAAGAATCCCAACCGGTGTCCGTGCACAAACACATGATCTACTGTAGATGATCACAAATGATCACAACTGTACCAACAAACTGACCACGGTGAATTCAATCTTTCCCCCTGCGGCTAAAGCAAGAACGCACTCACCATTTGGGGCATCTGTCCCTGGTTGGGCTCCTGGGATTAGTGTGCATGTGGGTGAAGTTAACACAAAGTGCAAGATAAGATTGGCTGAAAAGCCAGTTTTTCTGTTTAGCTAATGGAGGACAAGTGCAAAAAAATGGGTGCTGCGGTGGAATAAGCAAAGGTGTGATTAGACGTGGTCATTCTCAAAGGTACAGGTATGGAGACCAACTGCATGCAAGTACTGGAATTACTCCATATGTACACGAAATGATAAACAATTACTGTAACTACACTAACCCCACAGATACATGTATACCACTGATATTCATATTTAGTACTTTTTACATTCAGTTTCTGAAAAAAAGAAAACAAACTAAAGCCCTTTTTTTTAATACCATCCGCCAACACCTGTAAATCAACGCCAAACATGAAATGGTTGATGAGGTGAAAGTAAGTCAAACTTCTTGGCATTTGTACTGAAATTTAAGAACCTTGTGCGTTGATAGCGTGGCCCCCTGAGAGCTTATAAGAAATATAGGGCAGGGTGGAGTGCGTGAAGTGTAGTGCAAAAATGAAAAGGATGGGTGAGGGTACCGGTACACGTGAGTGATTGAGGGCAGTTTCTAACAGAGCAGGGCCAAACGTCACTGACCTGCTGAGCACCGGAAGATTTGCTACGAAAAGACTCGCTTAGCGAAAACAGGGTACCAGCTGCAGTGCCATGCCAAGAACAGTATATGTCACACTATGAGACTTATCCCATGCTTCCTTTGGGCTCAGCACAGAAGTTTGCCGAGCAGTGCTGTCAGCTTTGTAGCAGCACTCTGTGAGATTGGGCCCTGAAGGCTTTGGGAAGGCTGCAGGGTGTCCTTACCATGTAGGGTTGTTGAGGCTGCTGGGGCCACGTCGTGGAGGCCACCTGGACGGGCTGCCATGCTGCGCCACCTGTCCTGCCACCCGCCATCGTCGACGCTTGCTTATTCCACTGATGATCTGACCTACCGACGAGAAATGCGTGGGGATGGGGATACTTTGTGAGCTGTTATTTCTGTCACTCATTGTAGTATTCCAATTAAACAAGTGCAGACAGACACAAATTCCCCTTTGGAGTAAATACAGACCACTGTGTGCATCTAAAATCCAAGAGAGCAACAATGGAAAAGGGCGAAAGGTCTTAATCTGCGGCATGGTACATGTACATTTAGGTACAATCATTTTTCAAACCACTGGACTGCACCATGTCTTCAGTGCATCTTTTATGCTCCCACTTATACATAAATAACACTTTCTGTGGGTTAAATGCATGCATGGACCTGATGAAAACTTACTGCCCTTTGTTCTATTTACCATAGCCCAAACTGACCTGTGGAGTGTTCATCTGCTCTGACAATCCCCAAAAAGAAAATTGGCCCATTTTGAGTACATGCAGGTACATGTGCAGGTGTAGTAGGATTCCATACTGTCTCATGAGAAACTGATTTCACTACCAAATCAATCACACAACATCTCCAGTATGTCAAACCAAACAAAAAAATGTACACTGATTACGGTCAGGGAACCTAAAATGCAGTCCATCAATATATTACCAAGCCCACCTCCAATAACAAATCTGCATAGGGGAGAGACCCGTGGTTAATCTGTTCAACAAATTAGGGCGTGGACATGTCACTGGGGGAGGAGAGGGTCTCAAATTCAGCCCATTCCAAAACCACTACTCAATATTCAACAAGATCTTTGTCACAGCTAGACATGTAAGTGCCACTGTACATGCAGAATTAGTTCACAAAGACACATGAATTAATACAGGTAGCGGTACAGTGTAAGTACGAAGGTCTGGTCACCTGCCAGGCATTTCTGCCTGATATGCATAAGGCACGTTAGAACTTTTTTGATGCACATTTTGCAATTTACCTACAAATGTAGCTATACGATTTGTCAGGATTAGAAATTCCACTTACGAAATTAAAATCAATGCCAATCCAATTTAAGGAGAGGCACCGGTATTTGACTGTTCACGTGACATGTCAACATGAGCGCTATGAAATATCAAACAATCCATCTCATGTTGCCACTTCCAATTCAGTTTCCCGATCTGTGCGAGCTTCATCAAAGTCGCACCAGCTCTTGGGGCCAATTAAATTTCCAATAACATGTGCAAACGAGGTTGGAGAAGGCTCAGCTGACAGACGTGTGGCTTAGGCGGGAGTTAGTTCGATCATTCATGCAGGAAGCCTCTCTGGCGATCAGTGCTGTAGGGTACCATTTGGAATTGCACATCTCTCATGAACCAACTACAGGGACATTGAGCATTCTACAGTACCGGTACATAAGATGTTTAACTCCTTCGCTACAGAGGACTGCTACTACCACACTGTAGTGTGAGAATTAGTGCATACCACACATGCAGTCTATTCACCATGCACCTGCTGGTTCAATGGGGCCTGCTGCTGGACAAAGCCCCCCGTTCAGGGCATACCACAGCCCAGCAGTCGCGGTCAAAATAATCCTGCCGTGAAGGGGTTAATACACGGAGGGAAAATGTAGGGCAAGGCAGACAGCATGTTAACATGCACTCTAAACAGCCAACATTGCACTGGGGGGTACATGTACATGTGTGGGTATCCTTGTATCGAAGTTGACCTTTTGAAACAAGACCAATACAATGTCTACACAAAATTATGCCATTCCTGTTGAATATCTGACTGGATCTGGAGAGGAAAGATTGCACCTTGGCCACGGGGGCTTAACTAACAAGGAATGAGACTTAGAATTATTTGGAGTTTACCTAGTTTTTAGAGACTGGTAGGCGCTTATGTATATATACATGTCATGCATGTACATGTGTGCACGCATTTATCAGGATCTTATCTTATGGAGCAGCACTGCAGAAAACAACTCCCTGCAAATTTTCCTTGGTCATGTTTGCTGAGCAAAACATCTGGTGGGAACTGATCACAATCACTTTGTGATTAATCGGCTGCTTATCGTACGTGTACATGTGGAACATTGCCTTTTAACTTTTGGTGATCTACTCCCTGTACGAGCATACCGGACTTGTCTCCGACCCTACCTGGTGCAGATCATGAGCAAATGCTTGATTTTTCATTTGGGAAAAAAGGCTTGTGAACACCAAAAAAACCCCACAGAATGTTTATGATTGCTGGTGTCAGACTGTGGAGGTGACACAACTCTTGATGGCATTCAAGGCAACATAATACAGGAAATGCATGACACTTTCAGCTCCTTGTCCGCTTTGCTCCAAGGCAGAAAATCCATTTCCCTTTCAAAAAAGCCTACCATAGAATCCATTAGCATTATTGGCAGACAAGTGCAAAGAATAACATGTGGGAGTGTTCCAAGAATGTCACACAGTCCAGTTCCTCACTGGTCATCAACATGGGTTCAAAGTCTCACATGTTTATAGAGAGTTTGCGTGGCTGCCATTTTGCAGGCCAGTGCTTTTTGCTCCATTGGGTATTCACAAAGGAGGTTTCCCTGTGGAACAAAAGAACTGTCCCGCAAGATGGCTACCATGCAAAGCCTCTATGGACATTACATTGTGAGTTTCGATCAGGGTGCCTTTCAACATATATTCAAATGGCGCCATCCAGCGACCTCAGTGCAGTTAAGTGGAAACCCTACTGCATTCAAAGTCCCAAGCTGCCTTATCTTGTTCTTGATTGACACACAGTGGTTGGTGTCTGCTGCCTTGGCCTGACATGAGCGTGGTGCATACAAGTGCATTAACAAGCACAAGAGTGTCTTTAAAGTGACCTGTGGCAAAAGTATTCTTATGTCAGTTCCCCTGTTACTTAGGACCAATGTGCATGCTTAGGATGGACCTGACCACAACTTTGGTTCAACCTGAGTGGCATCATTTGTGTACAACAAACTACAAGGACTTCCAACCTTTGAAGGGGCACCTGTTTCTGGGTCTGAGTATTTCCATAAATGTAATAATACACCCACAAGCACCACAGCATTCTGCTCTTAAAGGACAGATGAATGATACATACTTTAGCCGCTGAGAACCGTGGAGCTGTAACTCCACACCGAGTGGAGCTCTTTAAATGGAAATTAACAAGCAAAAAAACAAACAGAAAGTTGCAGGTGGGAACGCTAACAGCAAAAGAAACATTAAGTATGAAGAAAGTGAATCATGATCAAACTACAAATATTTTGGAGACTGATTCCAGCTTTTCAAGCATTGGGCACGAAGACTGACCAAGATCAACTGTCTTTCTGACATCTACAAACCTGGACTGGCTAGGTATGTAAAGATGAGATGCAGGGGAACCTTAAACAGCATCGGGAACAGCTATGCACTTCCTCTCCATTCTCCACCCCCAAATTGTCTTCATTCTCAAATTGTCATGTTTTTCTGAATTAGCAAAATGATTCTAACACTCCTACATCCTTCAAAATCCACCAAAATTTTGGAGGATTTTCCGGGGTCAATGGGGAACAGTAAAGTCGCACCACTAATCACACTTTTACAGAGAGTCTTCCATTGGTTCGTGCATATTGGTAGAGTTTGAAGGATTATGGAACATGTAAAAAGAGTATACCTCATCAAGAGTTCAGATTTCGATGTCTTTGTGAGAGTTTCAATGAAGCTCTCTTCAAAGTTCTGCCCCAAACTCTAGTTCTATGGATACTAGTTACATGTATATTTGCCTATCCTTTGAAATGAAAGTAATTAAGCCCAATCTGATGGGGGGGGGGAAAACTGACTCACTTCTTGGGAGACATAGACCCTCGGATGTCCAGACTGATGTTGGTGGCCAGCTTGCTGAGGGTGGTGTCAAGGTCGGCACCCTCACTTGACTTCACAGGGTTCTCCACAGGCTTGGGCGGCTGCTGTCCTGCCTGGTTCATGGGCTGGAGAATGTTGCCAAAGAGCTCTGTGGTGTTGGCTGCGAGGGGAAAAGGAACGGTATGGGAGGAATAGGCTTAGTGTGAGAGATTCTGGTCTTACACAATGCAACAGAGGCGAGCGCAATGGTCCAAACATTGCCAATGGACATTACACATGTAAAATATCTGGGTCATGGGCTCTTTTTAATAATCACTGGACAAGAAAGGGCTGCACTGGCAAGTTGTATGGTTTTCGACTTTCCTGCTTAAGCATATTTCATAACAATGCAAAAGTGTCCTGGTTTTGGAGGTCATTTTAGCACGGATATCCATTCTGCTGGGTAAATTCACCGCTCATTAGATTTTGAAAAAGAAAACAAAGCTCGGAAAAAGATTCGGATTATTATTCCTTTAAAAAGTTTTCTTCAACAGATTTCTTGAGAGATTTCACAGAACTTTTCAGACACATGCAGTGTGCGCGTGCATAAGATGACCTATGCTTGTCCTTAGGGCCGAATACTTATGTCTCAAAGATGTCTAGTAAAGTACATGTATGCGTTCACATCAGTGTTCTTGTCAACAGCTGCATTTTCTTAGTACTTGTACGACAATGCGAGGACACCAGTGTCTCAACAAACTCCAGACAATACAAATGTATGTCTGAAACTATTCGACATGAAATATCACAAACTGTTCGGGTCTGCTCATACCAGTGCAACGGCCGACTTGCGTCGGCGCTCAGTTGTTTCTGACACTATTTTCCCAGCATTACAAAACACTCGGCAGCACTCTCAGGCAAATATTTCTATGACAGAGAGTACGCATACATGGAACAGTTGATAAGAAGTACCTCATAATAACATGGAATACTGTACGTGAGCTACACCCATGTATACATGTACAGGTGCTAATCAACAATTCATCAATCATGCATACATGTACACAGGTAGGCCAAACCAACATTCATCAAGCATCAATGTCACATTTACTTTCCTACACACAGGTACAGTAAACAGAAATGTTGACTTGGTGCACAGTGTACCACTAGAAGCACGGGATATGCACCATTCAATTGGAGGGGTCACACACAGGGCTTGAAACTGAAAGTCCAAGGTACAATGTAAATGGAGAAAATTTGAAATACGTCCGATTTCCATGTGATTTGCATTGCCTCCCGAACCTGCAAGAGATACATACTGCAACTAATGGCAGATAAACATGTATATACCGGTACACTATATGTCAAAGTCAAATCTTGACAGTTTCATAACCAAGATATTGTTTAGCTCGTCACTCTGGAGACTTGATTTTGAACACTCATGGCAATTTGAATGTGGTCTGCCTGACCTTGCTTTCTTTTTTAAAGGAACAGGTGAGTTTGGTAATGGGTAACTGCACCAACAATTGATACCCCCCTTCCCACGACTTCGAAGTTCACTGTACGTGGTTCATGTTTGACGCTGCTTTGTTAGTATTTGGAGGAAGAGAACTTACCATTCTGTCTGGTATTTTCCGTAAAGACTTTGTCAAAGTTGGCCCCGATGTCATTGTTGTTTGTGAAGCCTGTACATGAGAGGGTGGCATGGGATGAGAGGGGATGAACTGGGAACATACATACACATGTACCAACTCAAACACATACATGTACACAAGTCACAAAATAAATGTGCATGTAAAAATGGCAGATGCAAAAAAATGGGTTTACTCAGGGTGGTATGTTGGTATGCCAGATTTGGACAAATTGATGCCCATTTCTCAAAACACAACAAACAAAATCTGTACAACTTATTACAGGTATTCCAGAGATGTTGGCACCATGCTGAATGTTACACATGTACAATGATCACACTGTAGGAAGCCACCCACAAGTGGTTTGCACTTCCTTAGATCATTTTGTGAAAGAGAAAAGAAAGGGGTCACCGGCTCACATGTTTTATCAAGGTTTACGTGTACTCGTATATATTCAGTCACAATTCTGACAACATCCTTTTGAGGTGGTAAAAATATGCACATTCTCTCAGGTGAAAACAGAATTTCCAAGACCGCTAACAATTTTTTTTTTTCAGGTTTAAGTTCGTATCTAATCTGTAATGCATATGGTAGTAATGTTTTTGGAGGGCTAGGTTGGATGGTGCATGGTTCTGTTAATACAAAAGTTAAAAAAGTGATAAATGCTACCCAAAGATGACACAAGATGGGAGAAACAGGTGCAGCTACAGTAATCTGATACAGCATGTCACTAGGGTAGAGTACAGCGAGTACAAACGTGCAATGTGGATGAAATAAAACAAATGCCCATGTATATGTAGCAAGTACATGTACATTAAGATGAACACTATGTCTACCTTATTCCACGTGGAAATATTACACAGAAATAAATGACTCCTGCATCACAAGAATGAGATAACACTCACTGTGATAACATGTACTAGGTACACACAATATCACTACCAAACTAAAAATGTTCCAACGCCAGGCAAACGGGCTGATAAACAAGCCACAGAGCAAACAACTATCGATGACCTACTGTACATGTATACACATGGACTGACACATGCTTTAGGAGACCGTGCACTGGTGAGTAATGACAATCTTGGGAATTATGCCAGCTTCGTGTACATTTGTTTTTAGTCAGGCACAAATGTGTTACTGGGGCAAAATGGTGACTGCACATGTTGATGGCCATTTTCACGACATACTTTTTAAAAAGTCACACTGCTTCAATGCCATGTCGCTCAATATGGACACTTGTATCGCTAAATCAGTTTAAAACTTTAAAATGGCCGAATGTATGAAAAAAATTTAGAGATGAGTGCAGTACAAGTTAGCTTTCTCATTCTCATCCCAGGTGATTTTGCTTTTGGAAACAGAAAACTTACCAAAGTAAACCTTATGGTATTTCCGTGATGTACATTGTAAGACAGTGCAACCTACCCTTTTGACAATTTTCTGAGTCAACTGATAATATTTCTGAGTTAATATTCACCAACTGCATCCGAAGGCCAATTTTGAACAATGTGAAAGGATGGTATCAATCACACTGTACAGTCTAAGGTATTTCACTTACATTTCAGAGTCTCATTCTACATGTCAAGCTTACAATGTTTGTATAGATAAGCACTGCCTCTAAGATCTATCAGTTGTGCAATCTACGCCTGTGTAAACAAGGTCAGCCATGAGTGGGTGCAACTGAGCGTAGCTTGAAGAACGCAAGCAGCTACGATGAGAGCGATAAGGCGTAACGCTACCCCTCCACCTCACAACTAGTGCCGAAACGGCTTGCATCTCCATTCGAGCTGGCAGCCAAAACAAGACGCACACACTACTTTTGGGCTTTTACTCTTAAGCAAGAACCATCAGACTGAGAGGCGCCTCTGCTCTTTGGACAACAGCAGATTGCCTGAAACTGATAAAAGGAAATGGGCCATTCCATTTTAGTGTTCACCGACAGTGTCAGAGTAACACCAAATTCATCCAACACCAACTGTGCTGTGCTTGACTTGACCATTTTCTTTTATGCTACTCTATCAGCACATACTGTACGTGAGGCATTTCACAGTACAGTGCACCGACAAAGAACCTCCTTGAAGGAGGTCACTTTTCAACTTCACAGTCAGCATTATCAATTTCGCTGCTGAAATACTGGTAAGCCCATTGCTTCTTGTACATGTACTTCCACCAAAGGAATTCCACCCGAGGTGCATGCATCCCCCCCCCCAAAAAAAAATCCACAAAAACTGCCAATTCCTTTTTCTTGATGTACATGTACGGGTGTCAACCTTTTCCCTTGACATGCTGGTAAAATGGCTTCAGCAACACCATGGGGAAGTCCTCTGTATTGAGAAAGTACTTGTTTTGTCCCTTACACAGACGTGATAACCATTTCACTTGTTTATTATGCTCGGTTATTGAAAAAAATTGCCTTGAATGTCAACATTTCTTTTCACTTCCTAAAAACCTCCAGAAAACCCTAAAATAGAACTGGAGACTTCTCTTTTGGTAAGCTGAAATATACATGTATATTTAAACGTTTCTGTACATCTGTGGCTGGAGAGCTCAGATAGAGATGCAAGCCTTTGACTGAAAACGCACACACACCTTGGGAGCTAGCCTGTGCTCCCTCATACTGGGGGAATCCTGTTGGATACAATGGGTCACCCGCATGAGCCAGGCTAGGGGGGTTAGCAACAGCTGCGCTGTCTGTGAGTAAAATCAATCAATGGTTTGAGTATGTACACAGGGTTAGTGAATCAATGAGTTATGGGTAGATCATACTTCATGCAAAAAAAAGCAAATATGTTAAAAATGCAAACATTTTTCAAGTGTCACTGCCATACAGAGCATTGCCAGAAATGTTGTTCCTGGGCTGCAAGTCTATTATTGGTTTCAATCAGTCGACAGTTCTCTTATGAATGAGAACCTACAAACTGTGTCGTGCTGGTAATGGACGGTCCCATGGTCAACAGATCATGATCATTCAACTTTCCAGAACATTGTTCTTGGGGCTATTTTTAGATTACTGTCCAATTTCTGATGAAAGAGTTGAAAGCATCCAATCTGTGGAGGTTTGTGGCCTGAAAAATTAGGCACGTGCTTTTGCATCTTCCACAGCCAACAAGGCAGCCAACATTTTCAATAAAATTCGTTTTGTTAATAATCAACCTTGTATCTACGCCTCCCTCCATAAATGAAGTGTAGCCAAATGACGACCAAACAATAAATTCAGTGAATAAGCCACTTTGCCAAAACCATCCATCCTGCCTCAGACCTCCACAAAGTACAAACAAGCCACTAGGGTACACACATGCATGGGAACCTTTAAATTAGGTTCCTGAATGGACACCTCGAGACATGTACCAGTACAAGTAAGCTGGTTTGGATGTTTTTGTAGGGACTATGGAAAATCTTATCCCAAATATTGACCCAAAAGCCATCAGTCTGGTAGACAAACACTTGCTCCTTGGAACTCAGGTTATTGTTTGAACAACAATGTCAATCTGCATGTAAGTGTTATACATGTAACAATTACAATGTGTAGAGGGTACTATAGCTTAACGCATCACAGGTACTCTAGGGTACTTTGTATTAATTGCATCCCTCCCCCCAGACTTCAGAGTCCAGAAGATTCAGAGTATTTTTGTAAGATAGAGGAAGAACACCCAAGCCACTATTATCAAGTGACCTACCAGTAGACTACACAAAGTCTTCATAAAAAATGATGTACGCTGTATTTTAGGTAGATTCCTGGCCGATTATGGGGGGTGTCATGTTCCCTCACAAGGGGGAACATGGTACTGTCAACTACTTGGGGCCAAAGTGTTCAGCAATTCATCTGCTGCTCATGATTCACAAATTGCACACATTAAATCTGACCCTAGGGAGTCCCTTCCCCATTTTCCTCTATGTGTTGAAAAACCCTGACAGAGTCTTGCGAACAACCACCACAGTGTGTGGATGCCACAGCACACATGATCAGAGGGGGCTGCAAACTTGTGATTGAGTCCTTCTCAAAGATATGTCAAGGTTCACTGTGTTGTCTATAGACGACAAGTCACTCACATGCCTCTCTGTCAAGTGACATGTTGCCTACAGAACAGTGTTTTGGAAGATAATGAAATTGATCAATTTTATTTGTCAAAGAAAACACCCTCAGCCTGAAAGTAATTATTTACATACAAATAACACACTCAAACTTTGGTGAGTTACAAAAAAACACATGTACGTATTATGTAGCTTGTACCGGTGCAATGTACTTTCATAGGAATGACCTGTGAGTTACATGTACTTGCCTTGGACATGACAGTGAACTTTAGTAATTTCTGTATATTTGATCATCCAACAGCGCATTTAGTGCTAATTACAGGACCATGAGTGAAGATGACGAAGAAGAAATGTTCAGTTTCAGAGGTGGGAGGAAAACCCAGATAAATATTTCGGAGAAAACCCACAGACTCAGATTGGGGCTAAATACCCAATCTACATGTGGACAGAGTTGGATTCGAACCCAGGCCTCCAGAGGTGGAAGGCTAGGAAAGAAACACTACGCCAACCTGACAACCTGAACTTAAAATGTTTGAAAAATGATTTGACATCAGCTCTTATAACTACTACAAACTTGTCGCCAATAAGATCAGATGTTCCCAAGTTCACAAAATAATTTGTCTCCACCACAATTAGTGTCACACAAAGTTTTGGAACTCCACAGGTACACTGCACCACCAATTATGGGTGGGTTTACAGCAGGGAACGGCATGCTACAAGAGACATGATGATGAGAAGTAGGTGTATTCTGCCATGGGCGTGCTCGCCTGTGTACACTGCACATTTTCCTCTCCAAATTCACAGTGAGATATCCTGATTGTGTAAATATTTTCCCAGTTCCCATTTTCTGACAAGTATGGGATGCGGATGGGCTCTGAAAAATTTGCAAAAGGTTGAATTATATGTGTGCTGGACAACCTTCGTGCATGGGGAAGATGTGACAACCTAACTCTGAATTGATCAGTCCAATTTTGGTTGCTCTGGGTGAAAGAGCCCATTAAAAGGGACAGTTTGAACAATCATACACAAAATATACAGGGAAGACAACTTTCCTCACAGCATTTGATGCACGCGTAAGGAGTTGTTGAAAAATTCTGTACAGCACATATCTGTCGTGTTCAGTGGGCTGGCAAGCACACACATGGCAGCAGAAGAGGTTAACTCATAATCTTCTGTGACTTGTGATTGGACGGAGGGGCATATACAATTTTCACAAATGAGGTCCTGAGGTAATGCCATGTGAAACATTCTCACAATTTTCCATTTTTGCCCTAGATCTCAACCTGAAGCAAAGATTCAGCAAGTATGCACATTTGGGAATTATGGACATCCTCAGAATGTTTTAACTGTAACTCCCAGACAAGAAATATCACGGTGCATTCACTGGAATTGCAGAACGCGGCTACATGTACTGTTGTACCAAACAGGAAATGAAAGATCAATTTTGAGTAAAAAGGATATGGCAGTATATGAAGTGAGGGCTCAACTCTGGATTTACGCAATTTTAGGTCTGTGGGCAAAAACTGTAAGAAGATTGAGTACAACTAAACCCAATTCAGCAGGTGCATGTACTTTTCAAATGAATTTTTTTTACAACTTCTTTGGGACCAGAAGCTGAGACATTTGTGCAACCCATCTGAGAGGTATCTCTACCAGTATATGTATCTACTGATATTTAAACACGGCACTAGTTTCTTTCGATATTAAAGAGTGCCATGGTGCTACCTACACATATGGTAGGTTTCATGGCATTACCACAGTCCCCCATGGAAACCTTATGAACAGGCTGGTTTACTTTGCCCCTCCGGTAGCTTGTGAAACTTTGGCGTACACGATGGGGAGATAGGGGGCGCTCCAAACACCGACTCGAGCTGCGCCGCCTTGTCCTCCTTGTCCAAGATGCTCCCGTCCAGAAAGTTGGGGAAGGGGTCATTGGGGACAAGGGCATCCAGGAAGGCAGAGGGTGGGCCCGAGGAAGGTTTCATGGGCAGGTCTGGGAACTGGGCCTCGAAGGGCTCCGGGTCATTAAAAGGATTATTGTCATCTGTTTTATTTTTGGGGGGGGGCGGGGATTTGGGGGGAGGAGTGTTCAGAATGCAAAATTGGTCAGGAAAGAGAAGAGAAAAGGTGTTCCTCCAGTTACTGAAGGTTTTAAATCTTCCACATTCGTATGTATTTTTTGCAACCAGCTACCTGCCAATTCATGAAACTTCAACCACTTTGGAAACACATACAGTACACAAAACACAAACATTCCACAACCAACAAACCTGCCTGAAACATTCTGCGCAGTTTTAATTCATGCAAGAGAATGCATATGAATCCACTCTAAATGACATGAGCTTCAAACAGCGGCCCACCAGTGAAACTCATGGGGCAAACCTTTTGCACTTCACAACTGCACATACATGTAAACCACACTGATTTTACCTGTTGAAGCACTGTGACATTAACAATGCATTTATCAAGAGGGCTACGACGGAATGGTGGAAAACCTCATTTCTAGAAGCTATGAATTCCTTAAAAGACACTGAAACAACTCAAAAACCACACAATCCATTGCAGGTTCATTCACAAAGACAGGGTCACAAAAATACTCGTAATTACTTGTCTGAGCATTCCCGAAGGGCTCAAATGAGTCCTTGTAACTTGAGGGGGCTGAGGTGCAGGCTCGGAGGGGCGAGCCAGGGGCCGGAATGTTGAGTGGAGAGCTAGACGTGGCTGCTAGGACTGACGGGACAAGTCCACAGGGTGCGCAAGAAAAAAAAAGGTGCTGAGGTTAGAAGAATATACATGTATGTAATATGCAGGCACAGGACACAGCACACTGAAGCTTTGTATGTGTAGGTATGCGAATCCGATGACCATGGTTAACACTATCACTGGTCACATTGCAGTGGCCCCCGCTTATGGCAGTAAGCACTGTAACAACTTGTATGAAGCCACTGTTCCGTGACGGGCATTCAACACACAAAACCTGACACACTGCTTTCTTGTCATTTATGGGGGCCAAAAGAAATGTCCAGTGAAATGCTGCTGTATAAGTCTGCTCCCAAGGCTGATATCCAACACTTTATTTTTTTCGCACTTCTCGTTGATGAATCCACTTGGAAAACCTGTACCCCTGGATCGAAAACTGACATATACAATGTAAGTTTTCTGTACCTTTTCAAAGAATTCAGGTGATTTACTCGTTCACTAGGTTTAATAATATTAAACAAAGTAGAAATATTTTTAAAAATCCTCAGCGAAGAATCTCGACAAATACAAGAAAACAACGAAACCATATACACACAACAAATTATATAGATTTTAAAACAAGAGAACAACTTAGTGCAATTAATGATTAGAATGTGCTGAACGTGAGATGCATGTCCAAGCATATTAGTAGTGTGTTAAAACTGACAAAATAGTGACACAGATCCGCAGAACATAAATAGTAGAGTTCTCAGTGGCCTACAAGGCTTCTATGACAACCAATACAACCACTGCTGCCATGTGTTTTGTTTTCAAGCTTGCATGACCAGATTGGGCCAGGCACGGGTGAAGGTGTGACTTACATTAATTGAATACATATCTGCTGGCTTGGATTTCAAGTGCCTGTACTTCATCCCACATGGCTAAAAAAAACAGCCACCACTGCTGCCATCTGGGACAAAACATACAGACCTTAAAAAAAAACTGTGAGCACATCCCTGACTCCTATGACACCCTAAGTCCAATGCCAATAACATTGAAGGTGTAAACTGTACGCGGCTTGTAAAAGTCAATCAACTTTTTGAAGTAATGTCTGTGCATTGTTCGTGGGGTCTGTTTATGAGGTGGCATTTGAGATCGTACTCCCTGAATCCATTTGATTTATTGAATACTCTTGAATGGGAAGGTGCCGGACTATTTTGCCGCAGGGACAGGCTCAGCCTCACTTTGCATAAAAACTTTTACTTTGGCCAAAAGGGTAGCATTTCCTTTTTATCCAAAATTAGGAGCTTTCCACTGATTCCATTCGTACATGTAATTTATCACTTTCCTCTAATGCATCATCTTCATTACTACATGTACGTATCTTAAATTTGTGTAAAATCTTTAACGGGATTGCCTCACTTTCAATTCAAGAGGGCTAACGTGTGAATACAGTCATTATTATTTTTGTCAATATTTTTTAATCTCCCTCACCATTTGATGCACCCCACTGGGCCTGACTGGCCATCTGTGGCTGAGCTATTTGGGCGTGGATGGAAGGCGTGATGGCCGACGCTGTCAGGCCAATCAGATCGCTGGATGGTTTGCTCGTTGGTTGCGGCTGAGCTACTGTGCCTGAAAACAATCATTCACACAAAGCAGCCTTACGCTCACCTCTGTGAAATCCACTCAACGTCGCATACCCACCGACATTTACTCACATGCAAATTGTGGCCAGTCGGCCCAGTTTTTGTTGACTATAAACTTGAAAAATGGCCTCCATGTGGCAACCTCTTGCTTGCCCACTAGGTAGCCTGCATTTTGCCTATTTTCAGCATGAATCACACACCACGAACCCCACTGGGTAAAATTTAAGATGGAGGAAAAATATGAGTTAGTTTGAGCACACAATGATGTCAAAAAGAACATTCCTGTGAATTTCAACTCTATGAACAATATGCAGAATGAGTACCCAAATACATGTATTGCCTTATGTCAATCAAGTATGATTTCCAGTCCTGAATTCTACAGATTTGAACCGGCCAACTGATGCTGCAAAGCATAGTGGTTACCATTACCTACTTGTGGAAGACAGGAGGTTGCCATTTCTGGTCCCAACCAATATATGTTCACCCACTGCTGCAGGTGCACCACTGAATGGGATCATGCATGACGGGCGAGATGCTTTCTGGTCACATCTCCTATGACTATGGCTTCAACTTTTGATCTGACAGTGAAGAGCCGTAGCCAGTGTGCAACACTACTGGATGGTGTAGTCTCAGATGGAGACACCACACAGCGAGTTGCCAACATACATGTACATGTAGCATGCATAGTGTGTAGCTTTAACCATTGAAAATACATGTACATGTATTTCTTACAGGAGTTTTTCTGGCGATAGGCCCCACATATATATTTACAAAGGACATTAGTAATGACAAACACAATAAAAAGAAAAGTGCTACTTTTTTAAAGTGATACAAGTCATTTTACACCACATCGTCACTTACTGTCCACAGAAGCCAGTACCGATCATTGATATACATGCATCATAAAGCAATTTTTATCGATACCATTTAACCCCACTGAATTCTACCAGCATACTCTTTGAATATCAACTCGACTTTTGGTTATATAATGACTTGCTGTGACAGAATAAAATCACAGCGAGAACCAAATTTAAGTTCTTGAATCTGGCTTTAAAAAATATGTAGCAAGCTAATGAGCATCAAGATTGCCTTTAGTTCAGCACTGGCTTCATCTTTATGGGTTTCAGATTCTTGGGAAAAATCTGGATGCAAGAATATCACTTTTTTAACAGGATCAGAGGAAATCAACAAATTTCACTGCTTAAAAGAGGCTACTGGTGCTTTAGATGATTGAATAAAAAAAAATTGTCTACTCCATCACAAGCTTGCTGGAGTTCAGTACTCGGCCCTGAACAATATGCAAAACTAAGTGGAGGGCGGAATCACACGTGAACCAAGTACATCTAGGTCCCTGCATTTACTGGCACTGACTCTAAGACAGTACCAATTGCATCCATGGTATGGTACTTATGAAATTACACTGGCTATAAAAGTGGAAAATCAACTTAATGATGATTGATGGCAACCTGGTGCCAAGTTGACATTACAGGGAACAATCAGCCAGTGGCTGGTATATTGTATATTCTTCAAAATGCATCAAAACATTTAGCAGGATCAAGGCAGATAAAGTACATGGACAACTGAGCCACTACATTTTACACAATGACTGATGCGCACTGAAGGTACAGAGACTGTGCTTTTAGTTCGTTGTGCACTAGAGGGTTCTCAAGGATAAGTGCTCGCAATGGTTCCTGGCGATGCTACCCTTGGTGACAGGGCTATTGCTACAGGGCGGGTCAGTGGTCTCCCGGCAGTCCTTTACCTTGCATGCCTTGGGGTGGTGCGCCAAAGATGTCCCTGGACACTGTAGTAGTGGCTGGCTGGTGAACCGGTGAGGTGGTGGGCGAGGAGAGGAACGGGTTATTCTGGCTGGGGGCTGCCTGGGCCTTTTTACTGTCAGTCTGCTCCTGGAGCTGTTTGGCCTGTGAGGGTTAAACAGAAAGATGTTGGCACCAGAATTTTGGCTCGTGGGATGGCTCCACACTGGTTAATGCATGCTTCAATTGGTGGCAAATGATTCCAATGATATGATGGGTTTGGCAAACAGGTAATGGATTATGGAGCATTCAATTCAAGAAGTTTTATTAACTGCAAACGAAACATATGTTTCCACCTACCAAAACCAGTTTGCAGCAGAAACAAAGCAACACAGCACAAATGGCATGCACAAATCACAGCTACATGTACATGACTGAACTGACAACGGCTTTGAATGATGAGCACACAAAAGGCAAACCAACTCCCGCCAATTTGCTAAATACACTCTGTGCTACTGGAGAGAACAGTGCCTTTTCATTGCAAGTACAAGTACGGAGTTGGCAGCCCTCAAGAGCATGTATTCCCCAATCAGCCTGTCAAGATTATTCTCAGCAATTCTTAGTAAAACAATGCATTCCATTCCAACTATCAGCTGCTGTAAAGCTATGAATTCAAGTAACAGGGGTGTAAGAGAGCATTAAAACAGGAGCTGAGAATAGCTGAAATTTGCAAGCTAAAAGTGTGAAGCATACAGTACATGTATATGGCATGAGGTCGGTGACCCGCTTAAGGGCCCCAGGAAAATTTTGGAATGTAGATACTCCGTGGTGCATTTCACAGCCTCCTTGTGCAACCATTGGCCATTTTTTTCTTGCAATTTTGGCTATGCATATTTTTAATTTGACTTTTTCTTCATATTTGTCTGATAATTCCTGAAGATTAAAATGAACTACCAAAATTGTAAATATCAAGGTTTGTAGAGTGAGTTGGACCTTTTCTCACCTGATCCAACTAGTTTTCAAAACTTCAATTGTTACAAAGAATGCACATCGCATGTCCAGGCTTTTGAATTTTGCAGGCGCGTTGTCTGCCCGTCTACGGTGTTTTCAATTCACATCCATTTCCACGAATTTGTAACGTTAGCATCAGTCTAGTCAAAGATTGTCTATGTATCCAAGTCAGAGCCTCTTTGGACAATTATACATTTGTGTTGCACTGACATTTCAATACGTTTATGTCCAGAAATTGTTTAAAAGCTCGTACATAAAATGCACACAGAGCATGTAAAAACTGCAGGATAATGCATGACACAGAAATGTTGCGAGCCCTGCGCCAGTCATCATGAAGCCCTCTATCCATAAAAGCGAAAATTTACTAACCTCATTTCAAGCCGTAAATTTACAGTGAAATGTGTGCCACCGCGAGTTATACTGGAGATTGCCAGTCGCTACTTCTGCCCGCGCAGCAACAGCTGTAACAAGTCCCACTGACACATTTTATTGGCAGCCAATCACGACGCAATGACCGAATGGTCCCAAGATGCTTTTTATACACAAGGCTTGCGCTTCGAGCAGCCCCGAAAAATGCCTGCATGGCAGATTGGTATCCAGTGTACGCATGTACCGGTACATATACAAGTACCACAGATGCAATTACAGTGCTCCAGTACTGTTTTATGTTGGAAAGAGGACGTGCAAAGTTTGGCCTGGCCTTTGCATCGTGTTAGTAGAAAACTACCGGTAGAAAAAGTTCAAACAGAAAAATCAACGCTTGTGCAAGGTCCTAAGGAGTAAAAATGAAGAAAATCCGGCCCGCCGATGGCAAAAAAGCAGAAATGATAGCTGACATGTTCAACGAAATCTGCTAAAAAGTGGAGATTTCACAACCTTGACTGTGACAAAGCGACTGCTTCATCACTTGTTTACACCTGGTCCCTTCGGTTACTGTGACCTGATCTGTGATATGACTTGTGCCTGGACCTGTGAGTTTCTCAATTTACTTTACACCTCGCGTGCTGTACATGTATTTGCTGGTCGCACTGTTTTCGCAAATGAACACATGCGACAGTCGACTCAATGCATCTTCTGAGTGAGCTGGGAAAGATTAGACTAAAATCAAACGTGAGCACTGATGCTGAACGCAACTGTCAGTTGATTCTGGCAACAGTTTGAAGTAATCAAAAAGAGGCAGCCAATATTCAAACAGCATTAAGCAGTTTCCAAACCATGGAACCCCGCCATCAGGGGTGTGAATTGGCAATTACGTGAACCTCAACTGATGATTTCTGCCCAACTGGTAAGCGAAGCAGTTTCACACCATGAAGAGGATTAGCAAAAAAATTAAAGAGCTGGGATCTAAAACATACACATGGAAATCACACGTACCTCAACACACAATTTCTAGGGGGTTTGGAAAAGTTTTCATCGAAGCATATTTGCGAAAATGAGACGCGTGCCATCAATTTCAGCACGTCTTTGTATTTATCTTCGACATTCATGTTGAGGTACACTGGAAAGGGCATGCTTGATCACTCCATCTACTGGGTTGGCTGCAAGGGAATGACTGGGGAAGAAAACATGATCGGAATGGATTCAACCAGAACAATATTAGACTTGCGTTCATATTCGTCAGTGCTACGCTAAGTGGCTCTGCGGAGAACGGGTCAGTGGTCGGTGGTTGGTCTCTCACTACCTTCAAGGCAGCCAGCCGCTGTTTCTCCTCCTCGATGGCCCGCTTCTTCTCCTCGCTGTCAATGTGGGAGACTGAGTTGGCGAAAGCGCTGACGGCCGAGGCCACAGCAGCAGGTCTGTCAGAGTGAGCCAAAACACATATTTGAGGTACAGTACACATGTACGTGTGTATATCTGGCTGACTTCTTACGGGCCCCCCCCCCTTTTTTGGGGATCTTATGGGTTGACTCATGTGGAAATGATGTGAAATATTTCAAAGTTATTGGATTTAAGTGTACACGCACTGTAGTACAGCACAGTGTACTTTATTTTATGGAGTACTGGCAAATGGTGACCCAAACACGGATCATTTCACAGAGCAGCTGACCAATAAAATTTGCTGAGTGACCAAAACATGCTTGGCAAAAGCAGTTGAGCAGCCGCAATGTCATGCATTCCATATTTCCTGTGACTGGCTCCCTGCTGATCTCTGCTTAGCACAAAACCTCTCTAGCAGAGATTGGGCCCTAGTGTCCACAAACATCTACACTAAACAACAACTGACAATCTTACTTGGTCCAGGACTTCTTGTTGTCCAGCGATGCTGCATGCGCCTCCAGGGCTTCTAAAAGAGTGCTTGGTGCCTATTCAAACACACACAAACACAAAAGTTCACATTACACTAAACTAATAAAAAAATAAGCACAACTTTTTCTGAATTATCGACACATCGTTTAACCCTCTCAACTGTCAAACAGGTAAAGGACTAAGGACCATTCTAGGATAATGGATTAACATAACAGTGGACTGATTCATTGTGTGTTGCAAAGAGGGGTACCCTCAAACTTCTCTCAGCACTGGTGACTAACAGTTATCACCTAGGCTTTTAAACTAGTGCTCATGGTGAAACCCATTATCACATCACAGCATGTATGAAAACTGTGGCCAATGCTTAATGATTGCCAGCAACGTATAATGCAAAAATCAGCCTGTAACACAGCCTCAAACCTACTCTGTTTAGGATCTGAAACCTAGAAGCATTAATCTTCCAACCAAATATTTCTGCAAAAAAATGGTTAACTCCGTGTATTGTTTTCCACAAGACCTGCACTTTTCATGAGAAATAGGTTTATACAGGTACATGTATGTACTCACAAAACACAAACAAAACAAACTAGTGACGTGACATCGTGATGGCATGGATGTGACACAACAAAAAACAATGTTGACTGCACTGCAAAGATTCCGAGTGACATCCTCAAACCTAACCTCGTGTTCATGTTGACTGCACTGCAAAGATTCCGAGTGACATCCTTAAACCTAACCTCGTGTTCATCTTTCCATCAGCAACATGTACGTACGTGTTTTTATTGAAACCTGACAACATTTGCCTGAAGAGGATGTGTATCACATCTTCTTTTTTTCAATACAGACTGTACAGCGCTCTGCTGTTCTCTACTGTACACGTATATGTCCCGTACATAGCGCACCATGTGCAAGCAGGTACATGTAACTGCAATGGGATGAAGTACATTTTTCTTGCCGCAATTGGGTTTTTTTGTCCTTCACAAATTAGAGCGTAGCCCAGCACTACACAAAGCAATGACATAATGCAAAACCCTGTAATATCATTTTTATCCATACCAGTACATGCACATGCACCTGCATTGTATGATAACGTCATTTATTCTTGTACAAGATTGTTTCAATATTAAGTGAACTTGTTAACTGAACTAAACAGCAGGTACAGATCCTTAAAAGGAGCGGCAAGCTACCGCATACATTTAGGTTTATCTGTTGGTTGGTTAGGACAGAATGTTCAAAGCACTGTTAAATCCTGTTAAGAATTACCAGAGAAAATGTTCCCTTTCCACACACAGTCATGATCTCACTGGTTCAATTGTTTGATCGATTCAGTCAATTGCAAATTGAGGCATACTCAACTGTGTACAGTGTGCTTGAGCTGTAAATGATTTTACGATGCAGAACAGACACAAATTACACACAGTAACAGAGTGCACAAACTACACAGCAAATGGTGAAATCCCTGTTGTTACTCAAAAGTCAGCCACCCCAGATACAAGAATTAGGCTACGTATGTACAGTGTACCAAATTTCCCAACATCAAGCACACAAGCCCGCTTTAATACATGTACCAGTATCGTACATAAAGAACATCAAATTGTTTTGCTATACCTCTGTCTTCAATATTGTATTTCCATTGGCCCAGACTGATCACATGACCACGCAACAAGAGCACATGTCACCCTCAATGTTAGACATCACATCACACATGGTATTACAGATTGGTGGGCTGCACTACACTCCAAACTATAATGCAGGGACCCCTAACTAACTATTCACTGGTACCTCCACTCCTTTCACCATACGGTTGACAATACAAACTCTAGTGGGATCAACACATTGGCACAGTGGTAAACTGAGCTTTTGGAGCACTGCAAGTTTTTGTTGATAGTTGAAATTTATTGGAAGTTTGTTTCTTTAGAAGTTTACTTCATATGACATCTGCTGTGCTTTCAGACGTGTGCCACATTCCCTCCAAAGATTGCTTTAAAGACATAAAGATATTGCTTCCGAGCAAGATATATGCAACCAACACAACTGACCTACTGCTTTCGAAGCGCGTCAACAGAACTTACAAAATATTGCCCAGTAACATTATATATCAAATGGAAGTTGGACGTGTAAAAATCTAGGAACAAAACTCCTACTCTAATACAAAATTCCATGGCTAACTCACAAAGAGATACCAGTCAATCAAACTGATATGACAACACGAGTTTGTACGCATCATACAACTTAATGTGCAGCAACTGGCTGAGTCATCATTTCAACTACATTTGAAACCTTCAAGTGAAGAGAATATTACAAACAATTGAAGATAGAGGTATAACAAAACAGTTATCAACTGCTGTTATGTGGACATGATGTTAACATCCATGGGACTCACAGCACCCTAGGCAGAGCGGAGGATACTTTGCGTTCCTCAGGAGTCAAAATATCATGTTCTATTTCACAGCAGTTAATAAACAGGAAATATTCCATTATCATTTCATTAGTAACAATAACTAGAAATCGTACATGTATGCATGCATGAATTAGTAACTTAAATGTGCATTTGACAAGAACAAAAAAATTTAAAATCAACAATATTCACAAAGAAAACTGAAATAAAGAAAACATACTTGACTGACATATACAGTCCTTTTTCTGTGCTGCAATGAATGCCAACTACCAACTAATAGCAGATTTTTTTTGGCGTTAAATTGCTGAGATGCAAATTAGAGATAAGCCTCTTGCTCAGGAACACACTCACCCTATTCCCCTTTGTCGGATTATAACCAACATTCTGAAAACCTCGCTGTAAAACACAAAAGCCTCAGACCTTAATGCTAGATCAGTGTCAGTTCTGATCAAAATCAAACATATTTCTGGCCTTGGGCACAAAACTCTTTTCACTGCAGTCATATATTTAACAACACCAATCCCACCCAAAGTGTCTCGCAAACCCCAAGCCTGAATGTACCATGTGTACACAGCCATGTGCCACGCGTACAATAGTGCACAGTTGTTAACATCTACATGTACAGATAAGTGGCAGACTTCCTACACTGCATGTATACACACAGTGTGACTTTCAATTAACATGATTAATAACTGTTTCACAATGACCCATGCAAGTGGGGATGGCACAGCAGTCGGTGGCACAATGACAACCATCTGCCTGATGTGCAATGTACATGTATATCCACAAAACAGTTTCAAGAATGGTTTAAAACCATACGGAATACCAACTGTATGTTTTTACATGTACAATGTACATGTTCATGTGCATGAATGCCAACCTTTCATACATGTACATGTACAGTGTACCTTGTGTGGACTCGTGGACAAGAGGTCCACACAATGCAGGTTTATGCAAATTTTGAGTGGACTAAGTCAGGTCCATACAAGGATAAACCCTTTCTGAAAAAAAAGCTTTAGAAGCAAGTTTGGGTTAGGTTAGCAAAACACAGAGGAACAGTCAAGAGAACTTTGCTATCAACAAAAATCCAGCTTCAAATAATGTTCGCAATGCCAGAAAATTAGTCTTTTCACTGAGTTTCCTTTGCTTAATTAATGAAAATAAAGGAATGTCCACTCAAAGTAGACAATGTATTGTGAGTTGTACACGGGTGTGTACAAACATGCATAGAGCCAACAAAATTCTCAAACAATTTTGTGAACGGCGGAAAATTCAAGGCAGTGCTGCATTGGTTCGCCAGTTTTGAAACCTATGCAAGAGGGAAACCAAATGTCAAAGCTTGGCTGCCGACTTGATGCCTTGTTCTGAAAATCGGAGACAGTGCACACCGCACAGATGATTCTCAAAGGGCAGGAGATTCCCGAGCTCAGCCAAAAAAAAATAAGAAATGGACTGGGACTCACATTTTTATATTCAGCCGGCACATCTCGGAACTGTAACAACAGGCAACAGGAAGGGGAATTTTAACAAACAACGGACACATGCAGCACGCAATTGACCAGAACATGTACCACTCCCACAAGACAGCCATCTTTGATTCCTGCACATTAGGGTGCGTTCGCGTGGTTACTCCTGTTAACACAAGTAGGGTGTGCGCATTACACTTGGGTGCAGGAGTATACTCCCCCCTAGCGAGAGTATACTCTCGCTGACCTGCGGGTCGTACTCCAGCCATTCGAGCACTCACCCGTATACTTGTGTTAACATGAGTAGCTTGCTCGAACGCACCCCATAGGTCTACTATACCGTACATGTACATGTAATTTTTCCTCAAACTCAGGCTTTGGTTGTGGTTTCAATGTACTCCTGTGACAACTCCACAAAGATGACACTTGAGAAGGTCTGTGTACACTTTACGTGCTTCTTGGGCCAGTGACATTATGGCTGTGTCCAAATTTATGGCGAAGGCTTGAAGTTACACAAAAGTCTATGATCATTGCAGCGGCCACTGCCTACACATCTGTGTGTGATTTCAAGCTGCAGCAATCTTATTCAGAAACAGGCTATGAAATAATGCATTGATTTTAAGGAACCAAAGATGGCAGCAATGTGGCAGACCTAATCACTTGAGTGAAAAACAAATGAAACAATTACCGTGAGCATAACTGTAAAATACAACGCATATCAACCACACTGGATTATTCAACCCAAATGCAACAAACCCAAATGCCACTTCACAAAATAAAACCAAAACACATCGTGCCACAAATTGGAACAGAAAAGCCGTATCTTGATTGCCTGTTGGTGGCAAAAAAGCAATCTGACACTGAACCCAAAACGATAAGGTACAGGGAGTTGGAAATAGGGAAAATCAATGACAAGGTGTGATTTACGAGCAGTGCAAGTGAAATGCAGTTAATGTGATCCATTTTTTTTCAGCAGACTTTTGGGTCAGAACAAGAATGACCACACGCCAAGGAAAACATTAGACCGAAACTTCAGTGAATGAATCCCAGCCCTGTGGCTTTTCACACTGTACACATGGTGCAGAAACTTCCAGCAACTCCAACTTCATTCGGTTCACCAATTCAACGTGCACATGCTGTACTTACTTGTACAATTCCCACGTGAGGAGCAGCAACACATGGTAAAGGAAAATATTCTCTGGCATACTATCAAACCGACTGTGTATTTTGGACTTGCCAAAATATTTTATTGCATCTCTCACCTGAGCTAAATCTGGGATTTCACCTTTGTCCACGCCAACTTGCTGCAAGGAGAAACAAACAAGACAAGGAGAACAACACGAGTAAATCATACACCAATATTTATTTAATGGGAACTGCTAATTTCTAAGCATTGTTTTTTAACAGTGATTCCAACAACCAGAGCTCCATGAATCCACCACAAATTCCACTTTGTACTTGGCCAATCACACATTCTCCAAACTTAAATCAGGTGTTGACATAAAGCCAGATACACAGTGTATCGTGGTAAGTTATGGTGACTATTCAAATTGTGCACTCTTTCATAGGGGCAAACATCAAAAGCATGCTAAAATTCCAGTGCAGATTTTGATGGGGAGGGGGCAAGGCAGTTAACAAGCATCCACATTATTAAATTTGGTTATCTTCTCAAAGGGAGAGGAACGTCAAGTCAAATGTGGTTTTAATTTCCACAAGTACACTACAAGGGATACAGATGTGCTAAGAAATTGCTCAGAATGGTGTATTTTATGGTTAAGGGGCACACGTACATGTACACTATAATAAGCTACATATACGTGTAGCTCGACCTCACCTCTGCTACTTTGAGGAATTCTGCCACTCTTTCCATTCTGCTCAGGAACTTCTTGTAGATGTCAAGTGCAGCCTTCACATCCTTTTTATTCATATCAAAATATTTCTCTGTAATAAAAATCCAACAAAGTCTAAAACCGTAAATGCCATTTGCAGCCAAGGGCAAAAAAATCATGCTAAGGTTTCCCTGCAAAGGCACAGGGTTTCTCTTCAAAGAGTATAAGATTTTTTGACAGGACAACAGAGGATTTCAAATTGTTTCCATTACAGGAAGATAATTAATTTGCTTTTACATCGTAATGATGCAGATATCCACTGCAATATCTTTGGTGAAGCAATCATAATGTACTACACATAAATGATTTTTGTTTACCAAGAAGATTGATGATTCCATCGTTGTAGCAGGCAAAGAGCCTTATAACATCCTTGAAGAGCAGCATGAAACTCCCGTTGATTATGCCGTTTGTCATGTCGTTGTGTGAGATCTGTACATGGACCAAATAAAAATAAATACCACCCACATGGTGAACAATCCTTGAAGGCCTTTGTACATACATGTACCAGTATGCAGGCCTCATGGCCCATGGAGGGGGAGTCAACACGTCTTGGATCAAGCTGATGGATATATCACACTTACTTAAAAGAACGCTGAACTGCAAAACTGTAATGGAAACAAACATGCACAGGGAAAATCCCTATCAAAATCTAGAACATCAATGAGGATAGCGAAAAACCTTACACATATAGGCCTATGTACTTACTAATGCGAACAATTTAGTGCAAAGAAAAACACAATCCTTTATCTTTCACAAAATTAATAATACCAGAATGCAGGTAAACAAAGCTTACGGGGCCCTTATATTCAAGGATATGGGTTCTTGATTTCACTCGGTACAATCAAGTCCCAAATCCCTACTTGGGCAAGACTACATGTAACCAGTTCAGTTCACTTTTTGGAGTCTCTCAACGACAATCACACAGGTTCCAAAGTCCCAGGCCTATCACAGTTTCACTGCTACCACAACTCCAGCTTGGAGACTGGAGGAAAGTGCAGTGACAGAGTTTCCCATCATGCAAACAGAACAGTTCCTGTCCTCATTAAGAGGTAACATGGCCAATCACGAGTGGCTTGATCCACTCTGCATACGGTGTAGATCCAGCAGTCCAGCCAAATAGTTCTTGGTCTATGCCCTACTGGTTGCTCTCCAGCAGGGTACAGTTCGAGTTAACCATCTTAAGTCACAAAACAACTAGTAATTCTGAGAGCCACAAGCTTAAGATTTTCAATCAGCCAATGGATCAGAAATCAACTTTTAACAGGAATCGTTTTTCTTGTTTGGGGAAATTTCTCCAAACGTGTGAAAACATGGCACTCTCCATGGTCATTCCTGCAGGCGTGCTTAATCATCCCTTGAGGGCGCACTTCAGCGTACCGCGCAGGCTACACATACATTGTACATGTACATGTATCTCCTCCCTAAATAGTAAAATGAGGTATGCATCTGCACTCGCATCTTTCCCTCCAACTTCTGTGCACATTCCGTGGAAAAAGGTAAGTTGAGAATCAACATCAGTTTTCATCAGTTCAATTCTCCTTAATTTCCACTTTGCAAAAATCATTTCAGCCAGTCAGACAGAGAAATTTGTCACCTGCTTTTCAGTACAGCACTGGGTCAGCTGCTGTTCAGAAAAAGGATCGTTTATTTTGTACCACAGCTGGTCTGATGGCTTCAGTCATTAACCAGCAGACTTCTTCTTGATCAGTGCTTGCATGCACATGTTTGTGCCTGGAGTTTATCTGTATCCACCTGTCCTTATCAGATGTGTGTTTCTAGCCAGTGTTATTTCACTTACTGCGCCTGTATAAAGCAGCTTGTCTCCAGATCTTTGGTACACATCAGCATAAACAACCGTTCTTGTAAACATACCGTACATGTAAATTGCTTAAAACAGCTCAGCCTTAGGGCACATTTTGAGAAGCTGTTTCCAGAACTTTGATACTTCGCGGAACACTACCATTCAAATTTCCTTTGATGAAATGTGTGACAGCAGTTATTACCTCAAAATCTAAGAGGGCATCCATCTGAGCCTGCAGGGTCGGTAAGGTCTTCAGCAACTGCAAAAGCAAACACAGACGGGATTATGTATTCCAACTTTCCTTTTTCTATCCAAGAGGCTATTCATCAGAAGCTTCCTGACCTTCTTGACAGATTCCATATCTGCTAAGCTACCCCCCCCTCCTAGTTGACATAATGGGAATTTAAAGCTATACCTCAGGCCAGAATCAATTTAGCACTATGCTTGTTTGTTAGTTACATGTACATGTACATGTGAATGAATAGAAAGGGAGAGGATGAATTTCCATCTGTGACAGTAAGATGGTCCAAAGCATTAAGTAATAATTATTTCTTTTATATTGTGCTGTACACAGTACATGTACATGTAATGGCAGGCAACAGCCGCGAGTCAAACTCACAAGGGCTAAAATTTGTGGAACCATCCATGAAACCCAGAGGCATGTTTTTTTAAGGTCAGTAATACCAACCTTATCTGCTGTCATTGTTCGTAACTTCCCTTCCTCTTTCCTGTAGGGGAATATGAGAATGATGAATCAAAACGAGGCACTGAGACGCTAGATTTTCTGAACAGTGACATGAACAGTGCTAGTGGTGTCTCATTGCGTGCCATGAAAAAACTTCCATTTGCATTTAATGTACTACTCAAGATACATGTTTTGCAGTGAGATATCAAATGAGAACACAGGCAAATGATATGCAAGTTAACAATTACCGGTGCATTGTAAGTTTCAATTGAAGAGTATCATATTTAATAGATATTAAATATGATATTATTATTACACTATTATTACAAAATTCAGCACTTTCAAGGCAAAGTGCTAATATAAAAATGCACCTTCAAAAATATCTAACATGTTTTACTGTGAAGAAATCCTCCAATGGATCTTCTCGAGTAGCAAGGATTATACCGTGTATGTACATGTATTTCAGGGGAAAAAATTCTTTTTATACCATGGCTGATAAAAGCATCCAGGCAGGTTTAAAACGAAACGATCCAAGGAAAAAAACATGAACGTTGCTACACATCACACCTTAATGGCAAAACTCTGCGATCGAAGAGCCTGGGATATCCCAGCACTGCCATTCAGCTTCCTACTGATGCCACAGAGAGCCCTGTGGCTTGGAAGTTAACAAGTCAAGGGGGCAACGGATTTAATCAGTTAGGGTGCAGAAGCGCAGCACCAGGAGACTCATTCAAAACAGGGAATTGCTCACCCATCAAACATGTCATATCTGCATCAAGCACGTACGAGATACAGCACAGTGTAGAATCAATGTCCATGTGTAAACATGTACGTGTACAGATGTACATATACTAGGTGCTCAATACTACAAGTACATGTACATGTTCTGTCATGCAATAGATCATGCAGTGCAGTACAATTGGCACCCATGGGGTTATTCTATAGTAATTGGGATTCCTTCCTGGTACTTTTTGACTGATCGATTTTACGGTTTGTATAATTTCACAAATCGATGTTCATTTGCCAAAACACATGTATGAAAAATCAGAAGTCTTTCCTGGAATAAAAAAACAAAACAAAAACAAAACTATTGGCACCTTGAGATTCAGGCAATTGGTTGTCGCTTTGAACACAAACGTTAACACACTGAGCCCTGCCTTCAGGACTGGTAACCCACGACCCATGGTTTTAGTGACTGAAACCTGAGCTTTCAGTATTGAATATTTTGGGGGTTCACCTTTATGCCTATTTAAGACAAAGTTGCATTAGTTGGTTCAAAAGAAAGGTCAGTTGGAACGGACCCTCAAAAGAATTACTTTTGTCTTTGATGCCAATTAACAAAAAAACACTAATAAACTAAAAGGTTAATCAAGCTAAAAAGCATAAACTACATGTACCAGGTATCTGGACCACTTGGATTATCAATGCACAGCTTTACAAATGAGACTGTACATGTGCATGTACGTGCACATGCGTCGGTACCCGGTATATGTACCCTTACTTCACAAAGGCAAGAAAGAGACAGACAGCCTTCAGATGCCAGTCTAAAAAGACAGAGTGTTCTTGATGACACGCTCTTGACACATGTTGCCATGATTTTTACATACCCTCTTTTGACTCTGCAGAAATCAAATGCCACAGTTCTGTAGGACAATGCCTTCTGGTTGAGATACTTTGAGTATCGTCTAATATACGTCGACATATCGTAACCTGTGGCAGAGAGGGCAAGACACAAGGATAGAAATTGTAATCAGATTTCCAATTAAGCCAAAGGGGTCAGTCAAGTATTTGCCAGCAAAAATATGCCAGTGGCCTGTAAAGTGTATACACAAGGGCATGAGCTGGATACATTTTTTTAAAAAAATGAATACAAACAGCTGACAGGTCATGACCTAGGGGATTTCATGAACCGGAGGTCATGACTTGCAGGGGGTCAAAACGTCAAGCTACAGGTACCGGGAAGTCCTAACCTGTAGGAGAATAAAGGACCTACCGCTAGCACATTCTCAGTGAAACAATTTACAAGTATATTCTGACAAACCCGATCACATGCGTGAATCATCATTCAGTTGAGTTATTTGGAAGTGACAGTTTACATCTGCAGATGGGTCAACACCTCCAGGGGAAAGAGAGGCAGCAATATTGGCAAGGCATGGGGGAACTCACACTACACAGTATATTACAGGACCAAAATATGATATGGCAATGAACTGGACAGGGACGCACTGATAATGCCTCTGTCTCTTTTGGCTAGATGACTGGAATGACTGCCCGGGCATTCCTGCACAATACCTGAAAAATTCCATGCAAATAGCACACATCCAGCGAGGAATTTGGAGTATTTATAAAACAGCCATCCTCAAAACATTGGACAGGAATGTCCTCTATCATTTCTACAGTATGAACATGTACAATGTCCTAGTGTCACATACACGTACATGGAGTTTGATAGCCTAAGCACATGAAGATAACTCGTAGAGAAAACGTACACAATATACGGTATAGCTGGTTTAAACTGGTACACACAGGTACATGTACGGCAATATATTTCTGAAATGTCGAGTAAGCAAAGCGGCATGATACAGTACATACAGTAGCGATACTGGTACCTGTACATACATGTATGTATTTGAACTAACCATCCCATATTTATACAATTGTGTACCGGTAGCTAAAGTGTAGAACATGCACTGTATTGTGGAGTGCCCTAAATTTGTGCATACAACTTTCGCATCATGAAACTTTCAACAAATGATGCACTGACGTTAATTTACTGTAGATGATCGATTGTCATGTGGACGTTGTTCTTTTTGCAGCTACCGGTATGTGCGAATTCAAAGCTTTTCCAGGGGGGATTCGGGAAAAATGTCAACAAAGCATACAGCCTTACTTGAAATTGTCAAGAAAATGGACAAATGATCGCTGTTTGCTCCTGATCTAAGTGAGACATCTGATACGGGCACAAATGTCTTCGATCAACTTTCGCCAAATATTAATGGCCTTATCAACAATATGGAGCCTGAAAAAGTACTGTGCACCTTATATTTTGAGATTCCCGTTGGCAACGATGGGCGCGGATTCTGTGGAACTGTAGTTTGTGACTTTTTTCAGAAATACACATAGAAAGAGAAGTTTTGTCATAATATCCAGATAAAGAACTCATATTTATGCTAATTATGATTTATTTGAAAGAATAAAAATGAATGCCTCACTATAACTTCAAATCAAATTGAAGAAATATTAAAATCCACTAGGATGAAAAAGAGAAAATGATGGAAACCCAAGCTATGGCAAATAAAAGTGTTTTTTCCTCAAACTGCATCTCTTAACCAAAGTAATTACTGCAAAAAATGATTCCTCATTCAAGAGACATTAACTAGCAGTACAGATACGGCATTATCGATATCCCATAAAATGACATTTGCAACATACAGTGTACAGTGCGAATTATGGTGACGTAGGTTTTACTGCAGCCGATCCGACTCGTTTGCAGACAACATTGTTTCTGTTGCTTCAGTGACATCCAATGTTTTTCATATCATTATTCGATGTAGGTTTTAGTCAAACTTTCAACTACTGAAAAGGGAACCATGAAAAATTCAGTATCCATGTATTTAAGAATAAATTTTGGTCAAAGTATTAAGTGCGAGAGTTATGGTACGTCGTAGACACATGCACATGTACGTATACGAGTACATGTACTCGTATGCAAGAAATATACCGGTATGTTTACCCTTAAATTGGTTTGTGGTTCGTCTGGCCTTCTGGTTGAATGTACATGTTCTGTCCCACGTGCAAGCAGACCTAAATAATATTACATGTATGGCTATGGTTATTACTGAATACATGCAAGTACATGTATGCACACATGCATCACTGAACAGTAACAAATGGAAAACATTTCTTTTTTTTTACATACATGTATACCGGTACATGTAGCAAACAGTGCGACTTTAACACTGATATGAATTATGAACTATGTACATGCACATGTACATGTACAGTAAGTTCCTATTCCCTCAAAACAAAGGTGTACCAGTACATGTACACTTCACAAACCGACTAGAAATGGCTACAGATAAACTTATACATGTATATGTACCTGCATATTTGCAATGAATGCATGGTACTTGTGAAAAAACCCTTTGTTACTGACGTGCAGACTGACATGAAGAAATTACGCCTATCAGTTTGTGTTAATGGGCTTTGTGTTTTAGGTTAATGTTAATGTACCGTCCATACGTGTACTGGTACGTGTACACCAATATGAATGTGCACGCTTGGGATAAGTTGAATATGTGGGTCAATGGCTGTAAGCGTTTACAGGGCCTCCAAAAAGTATCACAAATTGTTTTGTGGGAATAACACCTTGATCAAGCATTCTGGACGTTTTCATTGTCATCCGCAACAGACAGTCTGCAATTTCTTCCTCAAAGGTTATTTCTGCTTTTGCCACCCACGGCATACAGTACATGTACATTTACATACTATTGCTGCCTGGTCATTTTTATCTGATCATCTGCGTGGAGACATCAACAATACCACCCTGATGGAAATTGTACACCGTTTAAGCGGCAGTTCTACAGCCAGTGCAGATATATTGAGAGTGAAAAGTCGGATTCATTCACCCACATGTACAATAAGCAACACCAAGTCATATCTTTTCCTGCCAAGGGAAAAGGGGTCAGGGGTCAGGGAAAGGTAGACAGCAACAACACAACAGAACAAAATCCACAATAGTCTCCATCTATTTTTGGCTCACCTTGAACATTTGTTTTGTCCATAAACTCTTCCAGGTTGAAAACCACTGTCCTTGTGGCCAAATACTGTATAAATTTCTGCAGAGTAAACAAATTCCTAATTATGAGTGGAGAGGATGAATCAAATCAAGTGTACCAAAAAGTAAATCAATTATCAAGATACAATTCAAAAATAAACCCAACCTTAAACACAAGCACAAATATTGCTAAATATGGCATGCATGGCTCCCCCTAAGAAAATTCACAACACGCGTGCAATAATTTAAATGTACACGTGTACATGTGCATACCCGGTATCTGGAAATGGCAGGCCACTACATCGAGAGTGACATTTTTGCTTGAACATGTACATATAAAAATTGGGTATATTTACTACACACGCATACATTGTACAGTGAACGTGTACATTGTTTGTGCATACCAGACAATATACTGAGTAACTATATATTGATTTAAAAATTAAACAAATACACAATGTATACATTCCATACATGACCAATCTGATGCATTTGTAATGCAACTCTCTGGGATGGGAATTACGCATGTAATTTAAATCACCTCAAGCCACTTCAACCTTTACCACACGCTGAGGTACCGTTACTGTGTACAAGAGATGCAAAATATCATTTTGTACCCATGAACCTCCTTCCCAACAACTGTACATGTGCATACTGAACACGTACATGTACACTTACATGTATAAGCACACTTATAAAAAATTAAATACATGTACATTACAGTGGGAACACTGATCTGGTGAATGTACTTTTAACTGGCTGTGGGTGCACTGTTTATACTTGACAGGACAAGAGAACGCATACTGGTATCCTTCAAGCAAACTGCCTTTAAACTCGTGAGATCAGATTCTTGTTAAATGTTCGCTCTGCTACATGTACATGTAGATTCTTCAGAATGTGACAATGTTTACCATCTTCAACAAAATCATGTACATATATGCAATGTCGGATACACATCTGCAAGGTGAATATGACACAGGTGAAGATTTGACATGCAAGGCACCTACACTTATCTCCAGAACATGACCAATCCAAATCTATGATTACATGTACATGTACGCCTTGTCATGTGATAACATCAGCTGAAAGCAATCAACCAATCAACAGGGTTGCCAGTCAGGCTCTAGTAGAAAGCCTGAAAATATGGCCAGAGATAAATGCACGTTTCTAAGGCCCGAAAGTAGACCAACATTTTACAAAACTTTTTTACAAGCCTGTGGAACGAGGCTTTTGCCTGCAGACTAGCATCTCTGAATCAACAACCTTGGGCTCATTTCTCACCAATGGCTTCAACTGGAGGGCATGCAGGGTCACATTTGAAAGGAGGGTCATTCCACCAATTCAGGGTCCAGAGGTGTGACATTTTTGTACATGTATCCCAGTGACAAGTGTCATGTGTAATTTGAAATGGAAAAATCAATGAATTTGTTTTCAAACTATTTCTATTTGTTTGGCAGGTAATTTGCATGGATTCATCACTCTTGGAAATTTGCGTACATGTGTTCCGATCTTACAATATCATATATAAGATGTGACAGAGACACAAAAAAAATTTGACCCCTACAGTAATTCATAGAAAGACCCAGGACTGAGTTGGCACCAGATAAACATGTGGGCTAGAATTACACTTGCGCTAAGAGTCTTTCTTTACCCATCACACACTGGCCAAACCCACTTACTTCATGGCCGTAGATCATGAGCTGATGGCACGTGCTGAGCGCTTTGAAGACAACCACCCAGTTAGTGTTTGTGGTACGTTCTATGATGAGATCTGCCAGCTCTGGAATGTTGATGTGCTCTGTCATTGTACACTGGATTAGGTCTGTAAAAGCAACAAAAAAGTGGTGACATTATGTCAACGACTGCACATACAGGTACATGTGTACATATCAGTACCCTGTACAATTTACAACATGTACTGTACCATACACATACACACTCTTAAAAATGGACATAACGCACAGTATGNAAAAATACATCTTGAAAAAAAGTAGGAGCACAGTTACATGAACATGTACATATAGGGACACATGGGAATGTAGTATGTTCTGTACCTTAAATCATTGCATGTACCAGTATGAACCGTATGTACAAGTATACATGTACCATACATGTACATGTGCATACATGTATATGACACAGTACATGTTCATGTTACATTGTACAGTAAATCAGTGCATGACACTACATGTACCGGTACATACCCGGTACAAATACACTGTACATGTACATGTACCGGGGTACCAGTGCATTACATGTACATTACCGGCATACATGTGCGACAGGCATTACCGGTACTGTACCACTGAGTTTCTGAGTCATCAAATGTCTTAACATACCGTACATGTACAGTGTGTACAATATATATGGCTTCACTACAAGTGTAAATTACACATATACTGTACATTGTACATGTACCGGTATGTGTACCACATGTGAGCAAATACACCTGTAAAAGATTTCCTTTCATACATGTATTTCATGGACTTGTGTGTCTCAAACATGACAAGTGCTGTGTACTTAGCGGTACCATACATGTCTATGTACATACAAGGGAACATGCAGTATTTGCATAAAACAGAAAATTGATTTTGATATGATTTTTTACATATATACACTGTACATGTATATATCCAACTTCAACCGCCACTAACTCACAAGGTTTTGGGAATCACCCCTCATTTAGCCTCAGTAGGTAAAAAATGTACATATTAAAGTACATGTACAGTACATGTACATGTATAGTACGTCCTGTACATGGTACGTGTACAATGTACATGTACTGTATGTACATAACATGGACAAAGGCATGCAAGTACAGTGTACATGTTGGTCCTTGAGGCTGACGAGCTGGTTGACCACATGCAGAGAAAAACTTTTGAGGTCACCTGATTTTTCGGGCTGTAGAGAAGGTGTCCTTCCTTTTTCTGGCATGTACATGTAGTATACAATGTGTGTTGTGCATGAACATGTATATGTACGTGAACATACATGTACATATACATGTATATCATGTACAGGTAGCTACCAGCTGGCGATAGCGATCTGAGACCAAAGAATTTGGCCTTTAAATTAAAACTGGGAAAATATGCAGATTGTCACCCAAGACCACAAATTTTGTTTTAAGAAAAACTGCTGTTGCACTTTATGCAGGATTTCTGGAGTGTCCAAATGTCACAGTATCAAAAATAATCATAATAACAATACAGTAATTACATGTGTATAAATATGCCTCTAGCATGTCTAGCTGATGTACATGTACCGGTACCTGTAGTGAATAGTGATGTACAAGCATCTGTTAACTGACTTTCAATTCTCACAGATACGCTACATACAGGTACCATCATGGCTGTTCGTGGATAGGGCCTGGCACTCAGGACCTACATTGTAGATGTACAATGTACATGCGCGTATTAAAGTTACCAGTACCACAGAGAATGTTGAACTGACCAGCTTCCGTCACTGAATTGAAGGCCTTCCTTCCTTCCTTTGGAAAGGTATACATGTACCGGTAGTTGAACACATAACCCCTGGACTGAACAATGCCTAATTATAATGTTACCCATCATGTTCACCAGTACATGCACCGGTAATGTACGGTACTATCTTGAGTCAGAAGGAATTAGAATTCTACAGGGTGCATGTATACATGTACGGTCATGGGGTACCCGGTACATGCATGCATGTACATGTACCAGTGTGTACATGCTCATGAGTACTGAGTACATGTACCGGTACATGTCCATACATGAGAACATTTTGTACATGTACATGTACATGTACAATGCACCTGTTTGCAGTGCAAATTGAAGACGATGCCACTTTTGGTTGCAAATGTGTATTTTATGTTTGTATAGTTATCTGCCCCGAGTTGAAGCGCATCCCCAAGCAGCAAAACAAAGACAGATGGTTGTAAGTTTTCCAAGCGGGTTCTTGCACGTGCTCTGCTTGTACACAAAGACCACGCATTAGGGAATAAATTCGCTACGGGTACTCAGTGTGCTCAGTGTCAAACGTGCCATTGATCTCCATTATATACGCAGGCTTATGCGGTGAGTACATTGGGTGAGTACCAAAAAACACGCCCTCTTTTGTTGCGCTTGGAGCGGATAGCACCATTACTGTTTCTACACTAGGCCCTACACTATGTGCATGCATACTGTACAATGTTCATGTACGGTGCATGTACATGTTCATGTTCGCACCAGTAAACTGGCATCAGGAGGCATCCGGACAAAAACAATCAAGTGTACATGTACATGTAGGTCGATATTGATGTACATGTACATTACTGTACCTGTTTGTGTAAAGTGAAATTTCAGTGGTCAGTATGTACATGTACATGTACACACAGTGTACATGTATGTGCAATGTACTGGTACATGTACATTACACTGTAAGTACATGTAATCATGGAGGAAGGAAAAGACTGATGATGTAATATCTAGAGTTCAAATCATGTTTCAGTTGGCAAAGTGGTTCTTTCCTCACCTTTCACCTCAGTGGTTCAATACTCAGACTAAGCTCTGTTCATGTGGATTGGGTGTTCAGTCTTTATGTCCTGGGTTCCATGGGTTTGAATCGGAATATTCTTTGGGGATTTTTCTCTCACTTGTGCACCTGTAACTGCTTCTCAAGGTTCACCTTTCCACAGGTGTCTTTGGGCTTACGAGCTAGCACCTACTGGTACATGTATATGTACCGGTATACATACCAGTAGGGTACCAGTATACCGGTACTTGTAAGGAATCCTTGGTTTAGAAATACGGTACTGGATGGTTGGTCCCATCACCAGAACTTCTTGAGGCTATCACTATGGTAACAGCCACAAGGTTAGAGTTTGCCAAGAGGGTCAAATGCGTCTACTGTCTGGGACTTAACAAATTGAGTAGGTGCAGAATACTTGTATGAATACCTTGGCCTACGGTAACGTCATACATGTACATGTACATACATGTACATGTATATACATTTACATGTACGTACATGTACATGTACCGGTACATGTACCACTGTGCAGGTGATCAAACCACACCGGTACATGTAAATGTAAGACGGAAGCTGTACATGTATAAAGTGGACAGGGACATTAATTAATACTGAAAACTATCCTCACATGTACTACTGTACAGTGTAACTTCCTCCGTACTCCATGGTGTAAAAGTATATATGTACATGTAATAGCCTTGTACAGGGACCATCCTTATCCTTTCTCCTTTCTAATACACATGTAGGCCTACATGTAAATACCAGGTAACTTACATGCACTACCGGGCAACTCTCAAAGCAACTGATGCTTGAAACCTTCCTGAATCCTCAAAAATCTCCAACAAGCATACTGAGGGTGCATTTACAATGTACAGTGTAGGCCCCCTACCTGACAGTACATGTACGTACCAGTATTTTGCACCTTGCATACATGTACATGTACATTCCGCAGTTGAATTTGCAGGGGGCATGGAGCTGCTTGAAAGTGAAATAAGCAGAACTTACATTGTACCTGTAGTATGAAATTGTACAACAGTGCTACCAGTAGTGTCACATGTGCTTGTACACATGTACATGTACAATAGTAAATAACGTTATATATAAATAATGCATACATGCACAATTCATAATATGCTTTGAATGTCTAAGTACAAGAACACATACCGTTATTTTGGTACATGTACATGTACCAATAAGAAACTTTAAAAAAGATTACCGGTAACTCTTGGTCATTTTGCAGCACTGGTACATGTACGTGTACATGCACATGTGCATGTGTGCTTTACTCCCCATGGTAAAGGTACCGGTTACGTCTATGTACCAGTATACAGCATGTACCGTATTAAACATGTCCCATACATGTACATGTACTTGTACGGTATACCGGTACATGTATTCCCATTTTCAGCAGTACAGCGTTGTACAGGTATCCTACTACATGTACATGTATGTATGTAAGTAAACAAGTTAACCAACTTGGGAGGTACAGGATTACCATTTAGAAACTGGAACAGCCACTTACATGTAAGTGGCCCTTTAAAAACCAATCTCGCAATCCAATCAGCGCTGATTAAATACTGAACCAGGCAGAGGCCAGGAAGGGAACAGACAGCCACTGAGCCAGCCTGAGCCAGGGATATTTCAGGCTCCCATTCCCATTGGCAACTTCCACTCACCCCTAATCTGTTCTCAGGGCATCTCTTGGGATAATGCATTTCCTGAATATGTTATGTAAATTGCTGACTGCTTAAACTTTGGTCTTGCACAGGGACATAATTAAAAAAAAAAGGGAAAGGAGAAACTTAAGGAAGGTCATATTTGACAGAAAATGCTGGATTCAGGTTGGTTGCTGTTTTTAATTTAAATTCCCATTGGCACATAAGAATTGGCATCAAATGTGGGAAGTACATGTAGAACCATGACTTAGGGTTTGTTGATATCAGATTTTTCAATTACAGTAAAACCTTGGTAATTCAGATTTCACGGAAATACTGGAAGCGTCAGTATCTTTAAGCAGACTTTGAGTTAAGCAGATACTGGTATATCACTGTTACATGTAGAATACTGATGGAATTGGATTCTGTCTTTGACTTAACGGATTTTGAGTAATTAGAGTCTGACTTAACGAGGTTTCACTGTATCTACCAGTATACGGGTACATGTATGTATCCAATTTTTCCAATTATATACTGTACGTACATGTACTGGTACATGTATTAATGAGCATACAGTACATGTAAAAACTGGTACCGCGTACATGTAACGGGTACTGTCACAGAAATCCAACATCAGCTACAGTGTACATGTACATTTGTACATACCGGTACATGTACA